TACCTGACAATCCCTATCAACGCTTCAGAGTGAAAAGAACTGGATTGTTGCCTGACCATCACATTTTCTCACCAATCACAACTTTCCTACACTCTTTTTCATGACCAGCCACCACCATTCCCTTTGTATTCCTTAGCCTAGGCTATCAAAGCTGTCAAGGGTCTGAATCAAAGATGATGTCTCAGATCTTTTTTAAAGTGAACTTCAGTGGAAGAGCTCCAAAATTTAAAGGAAATGAAGAGAGGAAGGACGCTAAAAGCTCTTCTGAACACAGTTAAAAGTACGTGCTTATGGACATGTTGAATAAGTGGGTTAGGCTGCTTCAAGAGTCACTGTCAAAGGTATTAGCAAAAGTAGGTTTTAATGTAAATTTGTAAAGATGTAACTTAACAGAGTTCAATGGCAAGATTTACTCTATTAATTATTACACAGATGAATCATCCAAAGGAAAATTGGATTAGAATTGATTTAGAATTATTTAAATGGAGACCGGGGATGCAAAAGGGTAAGGATGCAAAGGGTAATGGTACAAAAGGGCTTAGCAACACAATCATTGACTAATTTAATATTTATTAAGTGATTATTCCAAATACTACAGTCCTAATTATAGATTGAAGATAGCAACATTTATGTCCTTGAGAGGGTGTTTGAATCAATTCACATGCATGCACACAGGCACAGGGATATCTATATCTATGTGTACAAAGGTACCTGTTAAAAATTCCCCTTTGACTTCAGTGAAATACTCATATTGGATGCCTTTGCATCTCTCAGTGGGTGAAGGGTTGAGCCTCGAGGAGTGGGGATATAACCCCAGGTTTCATCATCAGCTTTTAGCAACAGTCATCTAAGAATTGCAGATTTGAGGGCTTTAGAAGCTCCGAGAGGCATCCCACTCAGAGCGAGATGTTAGTGCAGCCCAGGAGACCTCAAAAGGCCTCATTTAGGACCTAACAGGAATCCAGAGTGGCCCCAAAGACAGGGGAGAAAACACACCACAACACAAGAGAAACAGGACACAACTTGGTTTGGGCTTCAGCGGACCTCTGGTGATTCTGGTCCAGTTTTAGACTTTTGGTAAAAAGTTTCACTTCCGTGTTGGCAAAATTGGTGTCTTGCAACCACTCCAAAGGCCAGTGTTTCAGGGAAATGATTTCAGAAAGTAGTGAAAATCCATGACTTGCTGATAAATTTGTGTACTGTCCATTGCAATCAAGGAGGCAAGAATCAACCAAAGCATTTTAGATATGTCTGTCTCACATACATAGCTTTCTCCACTACTGATGTACCCCCTTCTATTGACATTTCCAGAACCATAAACAGGACACGGTGCAAATAAGAGCTGATGGAAGTAGGTCTCAGAGTAGACATTTCCTGCTCCAAGTATTGGTGTTTGTTTACTTTTGTTTTTAAAGAAAGGCTATACAATAACTCAGAAAGGCACTGAAGATTGTGTCAGAGTACAGCATAGAGGGGCAAAAGTTTGGATGCACCGACTGCCACAGGCATTCTATAAAAAGGCCACCTGCAAAATAGTCACCTCCAGCACAGTGCCAGCTTTGAACACCACTATCACATTTACTGTGCCCCCATCCACAGGCTGCAGTTCAGGGGTGCACAGGGCAGGGCACTCCAGGAGGGCTGCCAGGCTGCCCAGGGCATGGCAGGGAGATGACTCAGCCAAAGCAGACTGTGAAAGTGCCCAGAGAGGTTGTGGTGTCTCCCGCCTCAGAGATATTCAGAAGTCACCTGGACACATTTCTGAGCAACCTGCTCTCAGTGGGTCTGCTTGAGCAGGGGACACGGACAAGATATAACTTCTAGAGGTCCCTTCCAATCTCACCATTCTGTTATTCTCTGCTATGTCTCAATCTTCACCCAGAGTATACTTTGAAAAGATGCCCAGCATGCTTTTAGACTCACAGGGGAAAAAAACCCAAGTTTTGCTAAAATGTAAATAATAATACTTACCTTCCTACAATTCATGGAGTCACATTTGTCATTTCATTATTGGTTGCAATCAATACATTGCAATGTTGTGCACATTTCTCTCTGACACAATTGACTCTCCACACCTTTTTTCAAAAAAGAAACAACACAAAATCCACATGCTGAACACATTTCCCACGCCCTTCACTTACTGTGTGTAGATACTCACTTGCCAGCTCCACAGGAAGTGAAATTAGGCTATTTAGCGTTAGTTCAGCAAAAAACCACACATTTTGTTCCCAAGGAGCACTAACAGCAGGTCTGCCTCGTGCTGGGGCTTTCTAAGTAAGTACTTTCATCCTTGAAGGTAGGACTTGATGATCTTGGAGGTCTTTTCCAACCTTAATGGTTCTATAATTCTATCTGGACAAAGCCATTCCCAATAGCATTAAACTGGCCACAAAAGTGATTTGGGGGTTTTTTTTGCATTTCAAAAAAGGATGATCAAGATTGAGCACCATTACTCTTCTTCTAGAAGAGTCACTCTAAAGGAAGGACAACTCAAAATCAGACATACTAGTAAACACCCAGTAAGGTAATAGCAATCCATGGCCATGACTAACAGGGTTATGTGCAAGTCACTGCTTGTATCTGCACACTCTGATTCATTAAACATCATGGCAGGGTGCTCTAGGGAGTTGCCAGACTTTGCAGGGAGCAAAATCACTATGAATCAGCAAAAATGTTGAGATGAATGGGCCTCAGTCACCACCCACACTTCATCCAGCTAATAATAATAATAATAATTATTATTATTAAATGAAGGCTTTTAAACTCCCATAAAGTCAGGTTTTATATGGCTTTAAATTGCGACAGTTATTTTTCTACATGCAGATAAAGCAATCAGGTAAACCAGAACAAAAATACTTGAACAGAAATGCCTGTATACATAACTGTATCCTTCCAGCAGATCTCCCCTACCAGCCCATGCTGTGGCTGAGTTGCCAAAATCTCTCCCTGCTCCTCCCTGGCCTGCAGGAATAAAGGTTTAGGAAGGGGAAAAGCATTTAAGACTCTGATTAGGCACATGGATAAAAGAAAAAAAAGAAAAAAAAGGCCAATTATGCTTGGGTTTCATACCTTTCAGATCAATATTTTATGTAATTAAAGTAAGTTTAATAGCTCAATCTCAGCCTTTTCTAGTCTGTTATCCACTTGATTTTGGTCAGCTCCTATTGGTGTAGCACCCAAGAACCTCTAATAGTAAATTAAGTAATATGTATATGGCATAGGATTGGTGTAACATTTTGTCAGTCTAATCAGAGGTCAGTGCAGAAGAGTACTGTGGTCCTTTCTGGCCTTAAAAACAATGTACCATTATTGAATTTATAAAATTTCTACAGACTTTTTCTATTTTTTTATTGGTAGATTTTCTCTCTTTTCTGTCAAATTCCTCACATCTCTTGCAGTAGTTTTGTCTTTTTTTTGGGGGGAGGGGGCTGGTTTGATGTATGTGTTATTTCATATTTGTTTTCAATAGAAGAGACCTCATCTCACTGCTATGGTTTGACCACACTGGACTTGTCATGTCACTTTGAAAAATTTAATTCCCTGCTTCTCTCTCTCTGCTTCATATAAATTTGGTATCTTTTCCATTCTGCAAAGTATGATGACATCCAAGGCAGGAGAAAGATTACGATAAAGCTTGGCTAAGCCAGTGGCTTAGAAACTAGGCCAACGACAGCAGGAAGAGATTTTGTTCAAGTATAAACCCAGAACATTTGCCAACTGAAAATACTGTCATATAAAAGCAACTTAAGTAATGCAAGAGCACAAAAATTTTAACAAACCACATAAAACATCACATCTAATGGCTCAGTAATTCGCAGTTGTCTCTGTATTTTGATAGGCAAACATTATAAGTCCAGGCATAAAATATTTAATTCTCACTCACTCACAGCGTACAAGTCACAAGACAACACCAGCGGAACTTGCACAACATGTAAACTGGTAGTCAGGAGTCAGCAATGAGCAAGAAGGAGTTTATAGTAATATAAGCAAAAGAAAAAAATAGATTCCAGAAGCAAAACATCCCTACTCTGATAATCAAACACAAAGTCGAGGATCTGTGAGATACCTAAGAAAGGGTGTTGAAATTACATCAGCTTCCTAATGTGAAGCCTCTTTTCTTCCAGACAGCTGCCAGCTAAGCATCCCAGTCCCTTCAGGCCCCTGGCTCTTGATTTCTGAAGCACTGCATTTGTACGAAGTCTCCTGCCACCTCTAAATATCAGCCCTCTGAATGCCTTTTCACCATATGTAAAAAATCGGGGACTTTATCTGGACTAGCACACTACCTGTAGAAAAGCTGTAGTCACAAATCCCTTTTCCAGCCTCAGACACTCTACTGATGCTGGCTGACATTTTAATGGAGCCCAGGGAACAGTTGCCTTCACACCAGGTGAGGCAATGGTCCTGCCGGGAGCCCACCCCTCTGCAAAGCCAGGGAACATAGAATTTAGCTAAAAGGTAAGACCATGCTCCCTTTTAATGAATTCCTCTTCAAACAGCAGGAGAGCCTAATATTATCTAGTAAAAATATGAAAAATTCAGTCCATTTGTCACCACCTGAAAGTGAGAAAATCCTCCAATGTTCTGGACACCCATTGTCCCATGCAGAAATTCTCCTGACATCCACCAGGCTCTCACTGCTGTGGAACCACAGAATGATCAGGGTTGGAATGATCATTGAGTCCAACTGGTATCCAGAGTCACCATGTTTACCGCTAACTCATATCCCCAAGTACCACATCTACGTATCTTTTGAACACTTCCAGGGATGGTGATTCCACCACTGCTGTGGGCAAAGCAGAACACATGAAGTGCCACCTCCGTTGCTAAGACATTTGCTCTTTGTTCATTTTAAAACAAAAAACAAATCAGCATCAGGCTTCTGTAGCCAAACACAACCTCAGACTGACGGTCACCTTGTGTCTCTCGCCTGCGAGGGAAGGCGGGGAGGGGGGGCCGGCCCCCGGCGGGCGTGGGTCGAGGCGGGGCCAGGGCAGCTCTGCTCCTTATAGCGCCTTCGGGCAGCCTTGGGCACGCACTGGCACGTTGACGGACAGACATCTGCGGTGACCATGGCGATTCCCTGCGTGGAGCTGAGCAACAAGATGAAGATGCCCGCTCTAGGACTGGGCACTTGGCAGGTACCGTGGCGGGTGGGAGGAAGGACTGTGGTCCGGCGGGCTCAGCGAAGATGAGAAATAAATAATAAAGAAGAACCGAGATTAAAAGCGGACGTCCCGCGGTGCGCCGGGGGTTCCTGTGGGATACATGTGCCCTCGTGGGGGCCGTGGGGTCGGTCTCGCCGCCCACTTGGAGTGCCCGATCGCGGCCACTTGTGTAACCGGGCGGGGCGGGGGGAGGGGCCGCGGGGAGTAAAAGGCAAAGAAAGCAAAAAAAAAAAAAAAAAAAAAAAAAAAAAAAGAAGAAGAATTATGGGCTAAAGAAGGTGGAAGGAGGCACAAAAAATAGGAGAAGTAAAAGAAACCGACAAAATAGACTCTGCGGTAGCGGCTCGCAGCCCCCGATGGGGTAGCGGTCCCAGGGGGGCCCTGGTCACGGAACCGCCGCGTGGGGAAGATTTGGGGAGGGTGAAGTGGCGAAACTTCTTGGGTAACACTGAGAGCAAACAAGGGGAAATGACAGAGCCAAAACGTCCTGCAGAAACAAATTTCTTTCTGTACCTTTTCCCTGCAAAAAAATACTGTTTGCTAGGAAACTCAGTTGGAACTCAGTTAAAATGGAGGTGATGAGGAAACTCCAGGAGCAGCTGGAAAGGGGAACTTTGTGGAACTGTCACAGCAGTGAGCACTGGCTGGAGAACATGGAAGAGCTCATGTTTGGCTTGTGTTTGATTTTAGGCTCCTCCAGGAAAGGTGGAAGAGGTGGTGAAGGTTGCTATCGATGCTGGCTATCGCCACTTTGACTGTGCCTATTTCTATCAGAATGAAAATGAAATAGGGAATGCAGTCCAGCAGAAGATCAAAGAGGGGGTAGTGAAACGGGAAGATCTCTTCATTGTCACTAAGGTACAAGGATGCAAGATTATTTGGGCATTTAAATTTTCTTGCAGAGAAACCGTTGCTCTACCTGTAAAGTAACATAGGGACCTATTCCCTTCTCTAACATTGACTTCATGATTGTCTTTTTGTGTGTTGTAATTATTTGCAATTTGTTCTGAGCTCTATCAGGAATCATTGATAACTTAGGATAAGTAGCATGGCTGTTACTGAATTAATAACTTTCTTGCATTAATTATACTGAAGGTTTATTTGTACATGTCTAAGAAAGATCAGGAAAAAAAGGTAAGGCTGTTGTCTGGATTCTTCCGTGCTATCAAGACATTTGAAAACCGTGTCATGTACAAATCATAAGCCTGAAAGGGAATAGAAATTAAAGTATGGAAGTTCAGTCTGAAGCATTTTATATGTATTTTCTTTGTTCCTTTATCTCATCCACTTGTCTCAGAAATGCTCCTTACCAAAAAGAACACTTCAGCTAATAAACTTATGACTTGGGGTTTTCACCATCAAAGCCAGAAGACTTTAGGATAACTAAACTTTTCCATATTAAGCTTGGTTTTTGTTAAAGAACGTGCTTTAATTTAATAATACTTGCAAGTTCTTCTATGTAAACAATGTGAATTTTGATTTCAAAAAAATTGACAACTGTTCTCACTATGGATAGTTAAAAGGGACAGAAGGAATAAGCTGCTCAATACTCAAAACTTAGACTGAAATAATAATTTTGACACACTTTGCTGTGTCAGATACACTTGCCAGAGTGTTACATTTATTTCTGAAAATCTCTTTTCATAAGTGAGAATACTGACTCTACCTTCATGACTGCTGGTTTTGTGGCATGTTTGTCCTACCTTTAGAGTAAAATGCTGACATTCTCATCTTCAGGATGCACTGGGGAGGGAGTTGTCCTCCCAGACCACCAGTGGAGAAACTTTTGTCCCCTGGTCTGGACTGCAGGAGCTGTAAAGTCACAGTCAGGCTTGGTTTCTTTCCACAGTTGTGGAACACGTTTCATGAGAAGCCCTTGGTTAAAGTAGCTTGCAAGAAGAGCCTTGCTGCACTGCAACTGGACTACCTTGACCTCTACCTGATGCACTTCCCTATGGGATTCAAGGTAGTCCTGTCTTACATCCCTTTTCTCCTTACCTGTCTAGAAGCATGGTGCATTCTTCATTATGCAACTGGGAATTTGTTTGGCTCTGCCCTGAATCTGGTGGTAGCAAGTATTTGGTCACTAAGTAGTGATATGTTTTAGCACATGGCTTTTCATACTTGTTGGAACAAGATGATCATAGGTATGACCATTGCTAATGTGCCCGCTGGGTCTTCAGGGAAGCTGTAATCAACATGGGATGGTGCTGTTTGGGACTGGAACAGCATGAACATCTCAAGTTTTGGAGATGTTGGCTTAGTCTGGAGTAATCAACAGTGAAAAATGAAGCATAGCACAGAAAAAATGTGCCCCCTCCTCCCCCCATCTATGTAAAATAAATAACAAAATTAGGAAAGAGGTGGTGGTGGGGCATCTGTTCCTTTTCCTCTAGATCTTCCTAAGCTACATAATTGCTATTAATCCCCACAATCCTTGCATGCAGGGGCTGATTTGGAAAAATATGGCCCTCGTCCAAAAGAGACTACTACTTTTAGTTACACAATATGTTTAAATAACCTTCTAACTTGCTGCCTGTAGATGCAGTCCAAAGTGCTAGTTCACAGTAGAAAATTCAGCTCTTAAAAAGTCTGTGTATTTTCTGCCTTGAAATAACAGGCTGGTGAAGAGCTGCATCCTCTGGATGACAAGGGTATGAGTATCCCCAGTGATACAGATTTTCTCGACACATGGGAGGTAAGTTAATATTTGCTCTTCAGAGCAGGTATCAACACTAAAGCTGGAGCAGAGATCTGTGTGCACAGTGAAATTAAGGGATATGTTTGGGTATGGAGGACAGTCACACAAAATTGTATTTTGACCAAATAGATTCTGCCATCTCTGGATTTGGGGAGCAAGAAGGAGATGTCTTTATTAAGGCTAAAGAGAAGAAAGCTATCAGCACTGTAGGTGTTGTCACTAAAATAATATTTGAATACACACAATGGTAGAACCAACTTGTAGGTGAATCCAGGTGTGACTGTTAATTTACTGTGTGTTTTATACAGATAGGAATTTTTTTATTATTAATTGAGATACTGTTATCTAATCTAATGTGAGTTGTTTGTTCGTCACTAGCTTGAGGGAAATGAAATAATGTGGTTTGCCAGTAATATCACCACCTCATGCACACTCATTGGTTGTCCTTACTTATTAGGCCATGGAAGAACTGGTGGACTGTGGTCTGGTAAAAGCCATTGGTGTCTCCAACTTTAACCATGAGCAGATCGAAAGAATTTTGAACAAGCCAGGCCTGAAATACAAGCCTGTAATGAACCAGGTGAGATTATTTCCCCTTGTCAGCTAACCTTGGAGTATAGAATAATAGAATAATTAGGATTAGAAGGTACCTTAAGGATCATATGGTTTAAACCCTCCTGCCAAGGATAGGGAACCTTCCATTTAGCAGTATTCCTAAATATGTTTACAGTGTATGTGTGTTTGTAGATAGATATTTAGAGTATTCCTAAATTCCTATATATAAATATAATATTCCTATATAAATACAATATGCATTTCCTATATGTGAAATATATTAGATATATAATATAGAATTTGTATCATATATATTTATTATAGAAATTCCTATAATATATATTTATAGCATTCCTAGATATATTTATACTACACTTCAGCTCTAAAACTGGCTTCTGCCATGCCATTTAAATAGTTTTGATGCCACGGAGAGATCTCGCAAAGCTTAGGTATCTCCTGGTTGTCTGAAAGATCCTACCTGTGATATGCAAGGCTTCACTATAGTGTCAGTCTTGATGGTTTTCAGCTGATAGAGATCTCAACAGAAAAATTTTTTGTATGCTTGTGTGTATATAATGCTGTGGAGATTTTAGAGCAATATCTCACAAAACAGTATGGATTACACATATCACAGTAATACGAAACAGATGAGAATATTTCAGTTTTAGACAGTGCAAAACAGTGAAAATGTCCATTAGCTTGTATGGGACCCTGCAATTTCCTGCTACATGTCCTATTTCACACTCCAAAGTATCTCTGGGACTTGCATGTCACAGCCCAAATTGCCACAGGTCCATTTTTTCCAGCCCTGGGATAACCAGCAAACCCCCCACTGTGAGTTTCACTTCTGCACTGGCATGGGAATGTACAGGGATGAATCATGTCGCAGCTTCATTATAGAAAGGAGGGTTGAAGTACACAGTTACATACAAATTCTCACCACATACCTCATGAATGTAATCACAGGACAGCAGCGGCATAGGAACCTCCTGACTTTCTTCCATATGCAACTTCTTTGCACTCAGCTGAGGGTGCTGAATGCCCATCTCTGCCAGCTGGGGAATAACCAGGGAAATCCCCACACCAGATCCTGTGTTGCACAGTGCCGTGATGCTGGGCTTGGGTCTAGTGTTTGGACTGGCTAGGCTGAGTACAAGGGGGATATAGGGCTTGGAAAGATTTTACTGAGAGTTATGAAGGTTGGTAGGTGAACCCAATTACCTCCCCCTCCTTCTCACCTCTGCCCCCCGCCCCCATTAAAAGCTGAACCAACTTTAGCAGTTTAAAGAACTCTGGGCTTTACCTCCAGTTTGCTTCTGCATGGCTTGTTCCACACACTGCTTCTACAGTAGTTGCCTAATCTAGCTCAGGTGTAAATAAACTACTGTACACATGTTCCATGTCACCATGCCTGGTAACTAAGCTATAGCATTTAGAAACAGCTAGGTATGTGCACAGTGCCATGTAAAACAGCGTAGATGTAGCCCTGTGGTCATACTATGGCTTGTGGCAAGTTGAGCAGCATCCCTGTGTAGCTCCTGTTCTTTTCAGTTGAAGGACATCTTTCCCAAATGGCTGGTTGCAACTTGCTTTCCTAGGTTAGCTCACATCATCTCCTCAGTCTTCTACAGGTATCAGGGTAGACTGCTTGAGGCAAGGAGACACTGGGTGACTGAGCAGAAAATAAATTTCAGGTATTCTGAGCTGCCCCTCTGAAGATGTAATATGGCTCTGCAGTAGTCCAGAAAGCCTGATTTCCCAGATTCCTGACATAGATAGCACTTTCACTCTTCTATATTATTTTTCATTGTCTGTGTGTAATGTGTAGCATGAGAAAACTCTATTTGCTGTGCTAGGCCTCTAGATACTGCTGTGACATTAATAACTTTTTCATAAGATAGATTTGAATCATGATACTGAAAGTCTTCACATTTTCTCTGACCCAAGAGGAATTAAAGTGTTATGATTTGCATCCCAGTGCAGTTTGCCTCTTTATCCACCATGTTTCTGTGCTTGCAGGTTGAATGCCATCCATACCTAACGCAGGAAAAGTTGGTCAAGTACTGTAAATCCAAAGGAATTGCTGTGACTGCATACAGCCCCCTTGGCTCTCCTAACCGCCCATGGTAAGAAAGCATTGCAGTACACAAAACAGTGCAGTTGTAGCTTGAATCTTTGAGGTAAATTATGTAAATAATGCAGGTAAAATGAGAAAAGTGCTGTTGATTTGTTGCAGATTATGTCACACAATGTAAGGCTTCCTGCAGGGAAACTAATATCTTTCTACCGTCAATATTCCTATTTTTTAATAGGGCTAAGCCAGGGGAGCCTATGCTGCTGGAGGATCCCAAGATTAAAGAGATTGCAGTTAGACATCATAAAAGCCCTGCTCAGGTAAGTGGGGTTGTCAGGGCAAAATATTCCTCCTCCTCAGATGTTTTCAGGCTGATAGCCAGCCTCAGCAGATGTGCCTTCTTTAGAGATACAGTATAATGGGGCTGGACTGCATTTGACTCTTCTTTCTGCCCAAGTTCTTAACAACATTCATGCACATTATCAGTTATTTTCTAAGAGGCCTTGAGTATCAAGTTTTGGGGTAGACTGATCAGCAGTGGTACTTGCTTGAGTGTTCATCTTTCTAAACCTTTTATTCCTTTCTTCAACTAAGTTAGCTAAGTTGTTCTTCAGAGAAGTCCTGTAATTTGCAGACCTATTGAATTGCACCGTCTGCTCAGGTTCACATAGAATTACTGAAAGGTACTTGATTATTTAAGAATAAATTTTTTCTATATTAGTTGCTACTCACACGAGTGCAGAAACTGCACTTCAAAAAAACACACATATTCACAAGCAATCAACAACAATCATATTTTAAAAAAAGGCAGAGCAGGACAAAAGATTCTATGGGGATGGACGACATACGCACTTCTAAATTCTAGAAATATGCTTTTTCTTTTATGGACTTCAAAAAGCCTAACATAAGTGAGGCAATTACCTATGAGTCCAAAATAATCTGCAGTATCATTATGCTCATTTGGTCTGAGCATCCATGTAATGCAAGCCAGAAGCATCATAATTTTTCTCCCCCTGCTACTACCCTTAATGAAACCAAAACAAATCTTGGAAAAAACAAGATGTAGAAACAACATAGGCCAGAAACAATTAGAGTTTGCCAGTAGACTGGCAAATATGAATGCAAATTTTGGCATATCAAATTCCTGTGTGCAAATTGGTAGTCTTCCAAAGAGTGAATATGGTTGTAGGAAAATAAATTATTTTGTGCATTTTAAAAAAAGGAAGAACATTAAATGCGCTTGAAGAAACTTCTTGGTACCCCTGTGTTCATGCTCCTCCTTGTTCTTTCCTAGGTTCTGATCCGGTTTCTTGTCCAAAGAGATATCATTGTCATTCCCAAGTCTGACAAACCACAGCGTGTTCAGGAAAACATGAAGGTGAAGTTTCCATTGGGACTGCTGCTACCTTTTTTTATGCAGGATAGACAGCCACACCCATAGCTCCCCCATGTTTCCAAGCAGCACCTAAGAGGCATTGGAAGAGGAGTGCAGAGGTGTGAAGACTGAGGCTTCATCAGCTACCTAACCATCTGTGCTTTTTCTCTGTGGAAAAGCATTTTGTTCCTGCCAGGAGAGAAATGGGTTCCAACAGAGTTGTCAGAGCTCTGCTATCCTGAAAACAAAATCCCAGTTTTGGACTTGACTTGTGAGAAACACTTAGCAAGTCCTACTTAAAGGTGTAAAAAAAATAAGTTGTGAACACCAGACCTGTCCTGGTTTATGTCTCACTTTGAGGCTGTGGTTCCTCTTAGCAGTGAAGTTCATTGGCTTGGACATTGGCTTATAAGAGCTGGTGTCTTAAATGATACCTCTGTGTTACTTTTAATCCATGCTAGTAGGTTTGGAGCTATTTCTCCTACAAACAACTGGCAAGAATTCCTAGATGATTAATTAGCTTGAGACAGCTATTTACAGCTGATACCCAGTAGTCTTCTCTTGTAGCAGAAAATTTACCTCTATTTCCAGTATTTGTGACACATCCTGAGCACCTTAAGTCTTCTATTAGTGCATTACAACACAAACTGCAGTGGTGTTGCCATTCAACCACCCAGAGTTCAAAGACATTAATATAAACAGCATCTCAGAGAGAGGAGGACTATGTTGATTACTTCATAGGTAAATTTTTATTTGGCTGAGAAATAAGACTGTTTCTTAACTATGCTTAATATGTTCCTACCTCAAGTCATAAAAGCATGAAGCATGCACAGTAGCTAACTACTCATGAACCTTAGAGGGTTTTTTTTTTTCTTTCCCTGATAGGTGTTTGACTTTGAACTGTCTAAGAAGGAGATGGATGTCATCCTCAGCTTTAACAGGAACTGGAGGGCAGTTCCAGTGCTCCAGTATGTTTTTACCCTTACAATCCATTGGCCTGTTTCTGTCTGTATTTTCATCTCCCATGTCTTGAAAACATACATGACCAAAATCATGGAGAGTTTGTACTTTAAACCCTGGACCCCGGGTTATGAGGCATGTCCTGGAACTGACATCAGGAGGGAGATTCATTTGGAGTGCTCCTTTCAGCATATTGGTGTTACATGTGCTTTCTCAAAAGCCTGTGTTCAGTTTAATGACAGCTGCAAAACTTAACTACATTGGAAGTGAGGGGGTGGGGAGACTGCAATGGGGAAATGCTGCCAAGCTACTTTCTACGGTACTTAAATGACGAGTTCTTTCTCTTTTCAGAGCTGTCAATCACAAGGACTACCCATTTAAAGCAGACTATTGAATGCAAGTGGTTTCTGCGAGACCTCCATTTAAGTACTTCCAGATTAGAAGATGCACTCTCTAGCTTGATCTTGATTTCTTCTTCTGTACTTGACAATAATTATGAACAGTTACTTTTCCTCCTTTTCTAGGAGGAGATCACTAGCTGATGTAAGAATGCATCAGTAGGGCTGGTCTTTTTTTTGAAAGATGCTTAGCAGAAATCTGGTTTTGATTATTAGTAGAAAGACAATGTATTTAATTTCCTTTTTTCCTTGTCTTCCTCAGTTAGAGACATGTCTAACAAGAAATCTGGTTACTTATGTGATTTTTTTTTTATATTTCTGGTGTGGTCAGGAATACTGGCTCAAGTCACTGTCTAGGAATGCTCTAATCACTTTGCTTTTTATATAGTTGTGATTTTTATAGAATGTCTCTCTAATACTTTAAAATTTTATATGAATAAAGTTTATTAACAAAAAAAGTTAATCAGTGTAGCGCTTAAATTGTTTCATACCGTTAGTTAGGCAGATTTTAATACATATAGAAATAAATTTCTATTATTCCTGTACAAAGACAGTACATACAGACCACTTTGTGGCTTAAGCATCAAACAGGATTGTGCTCTAGTTAGGACCTAAAGAATAAAGTTACACCCATTGCCTCATGTACCCCTTCCTCTGAATACCTAGAAACTGAAATCGTGTGTGAATAGTGATGAAAGTTGAAGGCAGCATCATATCCAGTCATAACATACATTAAAGTCTCCCCAGCTGAACATAAGGGCTACCTCCAAAATCACATTGACTTGCACTGGAAGTCTCAAATATAAAATTAACTCTGCTGGCAGTATCCAGAACAATACACTGAGACACAGGCTGGCTTTACCTATAGAAAACACAGGAAAAGTTCTTAAAGAACACCAAAGGAAACCCTGACACAGACTAACAATTAATTCCTTTAAAATATTTTTATGTAGATATTGCTGGGCCAAAGCCAGGTTGTTTTGTGGCATTCTGCATGCCGATAAGAGAAACTGTAGCTAGAATACAGAGTCAGCTGCAGGAAAGCAAACCACAATTTTGTTTTATCTGAAAAATCATCGCTTAAAAAGGGCATTGAAATACCAAAAAAATCTTACAGGCTTGCTGAGTCAGCCACCAGGATTTGTCTTTACTGAATTTTGCCAGGAGGTGGTGCCATCTGGTAGGAACAAAACATGGCCACACCACTTTACAGTGTTTCCTAAAAATAAACATGATTGCACAGACCACGCTTCCACACTTTCAAGAAGGGCAGCAACCAGGAGCAAAAGAAATCACCATGGGCAAGGGAAAGTGTCACCAGCAAAGCTTACAGTAACTTGTAGCAACATAGTCGGGCAGTGTGAGGCAGGAAAACATGACCACTTTAAAGCATACAGGCTCTTTTCAGGTTAAATAGCATCCAATTATTTCTCCCCCAGTAGTTCAGGAAGCTGTGTTTGCTGCAGCCTTCCCATTGCTTCCTATGGAGCAGGCAGCAGCCTGGGGGGACTCTTTTGGATGACCATGAGCTGGCTAGAGTAGGTACATGCTGTACTGCTGTTGGAGCAAAAGCAAGGGGATATAGGAGGATGACGGAGCCTACAGCTCCCCAGCCTTAGTCGCTGGGATCATCCACATGTCGAAGCACATCCCACCAAGACAGACAGAAGAAACATAATGGCTCTCACCGAAAATTTATTTCAAAGCAGGGAAGCAGATGGCTGTACCACTAGGTCAGAACATACTTTGCTGAGCACACTGCCTCTCAGATGATGCACAGCTCCCATCCTCTATTGATAGGAATGACAATTAGGATTATTTCCGCCCCTCCCCTCCCCACCCCGCAAAGAATATGTGTGTTAAAAGCTGCCGATTTTGTGATTTGTCTATCTCCTGAAGGATAGTACATCAGGAGGGACACTTCAGGGTTCTTTGCACTAGCTTATCTTACACGGACTTAGCACAATTCCCATCCCAGTTACAACTGGGCCATTCCTACCCATTAACAAACAGGACTGCTGATGGAAATATTCCATTTATTGTGGATGCAGTTTAAGAATACATTGTATGAACAAATAATTTTTATTGCAGCTATCAGATGTATTTGAAAGATTCAGAGGAGCATTTACAAAACCCCAAAACAAAACATGAGAACTCCTAGACAATGTCAGACATAGTGTCCCCCCTACAAATAACTATATGCATTTCTATATGTAAACAAGTTCTTTCAACCAAGCAGGTCAGCTCATCTTTGGCTTGAAATATAACAATATACTTCTTTAGGAAGAAGTCAGATCCTGTAAGAGATGGAAGTGGTGAAAAGGAAGATCCTGGGGGGATGCACTACAAAGCTGTTAACAATGTACTCAGGCTAATTGAGCTGCTCAGTTTATGCCACCCGTATGCTGTAGGATGTAAATGCTAAACTGTATGGCGTGTAAATTCAAAACACGCTGACGTCCTATAGCCATGTGTTAAATATATACAAATGAAAACATCTGTAAAGAAGATATTCAAGAGAGAGAGGTAAGAAGAAGCGCATTAAAGATAGAGGTTTACTTAATTTTTTGGTGGACTTGGTAGGCAGCACTGATGGATGGCAAGATTTAGAGTATAGTGATTTGAAACAAACTCCAACTCTGTTTAGATTTTTTTTTCTTTTTAATTATGGTAGTTTTATATAAATTAAACTACAACGTTTTATACAAGTGACCTATTTTTGACCCTCTATACCCTTACCTTTTCCTCTTTTAAAAACTATACTTTCTTTTTAATTACCCATTACTGGGCAACTGACATTTAAAATTTTTTAATACTTATCTCACCATACCTCTAATAGCAATTATGAAGTCTTACTATAGAAAAGTGTGTAATTTTTTCTTTATTTTTTTTAAGCTGTGATATTGGCTAATTATGTGTGTTTATTACTAATTATAACACTCTAGCACATGTTAAAAGCATTCTACCGTTAGTAGTGCCTTTAGGCTAAACTTTGTAAAGCTACGTGTGTATATATTCTAAATTGCATTCAATCACTAGTCACTAACAACAAAAAGAAGTATCAGTACCGCTGTCAGCTAATATAATCATCCAAATTTAGGTCTTAACTTAAACTAGAATGGAAAACTTGATACTTAAAAAAAAAAAGTATAAAACAAAAAAATAAAACACATTATTGATGCAGTATTTGTCATGACATGGGCAGCTTACAGAAAATATTACATTGTCAACTAAAGATATTTCTTCCATGCCTTAGTCTAAAGTGCAGAAAGAAAGACTTCTGTATTACAAAAGTAACCATTGTTTTTATAGGTTTACTGCACACCCTTTCTTAAGCAACTTTACTTCAGATGCATTTTGGGTTGACCTCTTATGGCAGTTGAAATCACTGTTCAGGTACATAGTTATGACTATCAGTAGGAGAGTCTACATATTTCACAGCATGAGTTTCTGTAGGAATAAAGGCTCTTGTGCAAAGGCAGTACTATTATGATGAAACTCTAGACTGATTGTTAAATACAGTGCTAATATACATGGTTTAAAGTGGTATAATGCAAAAAGACATTTTAGTAAATAAACATAAATATAAAAAGAACAATTTAGCACTTTTTCCTTTTTTCTTTCCCCCAAACTGATTGGTCCAGCATCTTTAGTGGCCTTCTATGGTTCTTTCTCAAATTGTCTCAAACCTGCTGAGAAAAATAAAGATTAAAGATGGCTTGAAACAACACAAATACATCTCTAAAATAGAAAAGGCACAGCTCTAGATTAACAACATGTAAGAAGGCAGGACACAAGCTGGGTGCTGCTGTGCTCATGTACTGCGATTGCTCAGAGGTGGTTTCCAAGAAGCAAGCAGGATTTCACCTTGCTTGCCTCCAACAGCCTGAGGAAGCAGTTCAGGGGGTGCTCAGGAACACCCACACAGAAATGCAGGGCTGCTCCTAAACCCATTACTCTCCCCAGCCACGTGTGGGTGCACTGCTAACACCTTCCACAGAAGCAGAGCTGCACTAACACTGAGTGAGCCTGAAAACCCCTCTCCTAACAGTTCGGTTTAAAAAAGGAGAAGAGGGAGAAAACAATTGGGGTTTGCATGACTATAAACCAATAAGAAAAGTTCACAGGCATACCATGCCTGTGGCTTCACATACGAATGTGACGAAAAATGTTTGCACATATTGAAGTGTAGAAAACTGAAAGTTTTTCCATATTCAACCATTTCATTCTTAGAGTGGAGGAATGTTGCAAGGCATCTTTAAACCTATTAAAGTGATCCGTGAATTTTCATTCTTCCCCATGAGTCCTCAGGCACATAATTGGTTTAATTGGCTTTATTTAGAGTGTTTTAGGTTAAAATGGAAATTAAAAAGCTAAGAGGGCGATTTTGCTAGTGGTTCCAAAATTACAGTATTAAGACTATTGTGCCTTGAAAAGACAGCAATGCGCAGCTCCAGCAAAAACATTCCTGCTGCTGAAGGTGTTTGAACTCCATTCCAGTCCGGGTATGCAGGAGTACAGGAGATTTACCATCAACCAGAAGAATTATTTCTAAAAATCAACACTACTGAGTTTTCCTCAGGCTTCACCATTACCCAGTGGCTGTGTTTAAAGTCAGATGCAGGGCTGAGCACTGAATTTCAGTACTCAGGCTGACTTCAGAGTACTGAAATCTTCCTTTTCTGCTCAAATGATGTTGCTGCAACAGCTTTGTTTTTTGAGCTCCCCCTCTCTGCTCAGGAAAGGCATATCCATTCCCACTGCAGCCTTTAAAAGAGCCTTTCCCAGATGCTTTGCATTTGCTGTAATTTGTCAAATGGCCATTCCATTCATCAGCCCATGCACATTTTAATGATACTCCCCAGCTACATGAAACATGCTATAAATATCTCTTGAACAAGCCTTTGGAAACATGGCTGATGCACTGCTAGTACTCAGTCCTCCTAGAAAGATGATGTAGGTTTATTTCTCAAGCATTCGTGTTTTGATGGTGTTGCAATGGAGCTTTTGAAAGGCAAAGGCAAAAAGGGCTTTACTGGCATCAGCATTAATAGCTGTAGAATTTTAACACCGGTACACCTCTGCAAAAATGTGGCAATATTTCTATACTGTAATATGTGTCACAATATATGTATTATATTATTATATGTATGATTTTATTAAACTATATGTGTACAATGTTATTAAATATGTGTATAATATGTCTAACATTATACATATAATAATATTATGTTATATATGTAATAACATGTATTACAATATAAAAACAGGTGCAATGTATGCATTATGGTATTACTTACCATTGGCCTCTGATTTTTTCCCCATAGCTGATACCTGTTTGAAAAAGTAATAACCCATAATTAAAATTCAATAGAGGAGAACATTGTTTTATTTATAACAAGAAAAAAAATCAACTCCATGCAAGACAGATTCCACAATAACACAGCTCTGCCAAATAGGTGTTTAAAAGTTTTCATGGCTTTCTGCACCTCATAGTATTTTCTTCTATAGATAAAGAAGCAGGTTAGTAACAGAGGACAAGGCCTCATTCCAACTGACTGACTGTATGAAACTGAAAGAAAGCCTTCAACAGAGATATTATCCTCCTAATAATGCACAGAAGTACTACCTTAGAAGAAGAAGCTGGCTTATCAACTGACTGCTTCTCCCAGAGGTTACGTTTGCCGGATACGTCTCCTGGTTTCAAATCCTGTCAAATGTCAAAGAACAGAAAACAACATTAGTTCATGTTTCTTCTAATTTGCTAAACAAAATGTTAGAATGCAACTTTCTCATAAAAAAAGTTCAAGAACATCCACCAGTGATAAGTATTACATTGTCTATCAATTATAAAGCAATTCAGAATGATACATCACATAAGGACTCTGCACATATACATGCTGTAAGAGAAGAAACAATCCCACCAAATCTGTTTTGTATAGTACAGGCTGGTCATCACTGCACTCCCTTGGTTGAACATAGTAAGTTAAGAGTTACTGCCCAAAAGATAATTCCATTTTTTGCAGAAAAACCCCCACATTTTTTCAGAGGGAGGAATTCAGTTTTTCTTAGGGAGGAATTCAAAAGATTGTTTCAGTTATTTTAGATCAAAATAAAAATATTTCATACAAAAAAACTCTGTGAAAAAATAGAGTAGAGGCTTTTAATACAACAGAAAAGCAGATTCTACTCTCCATTCTTAAATATAGGTTTTAGGCTTTATTACTGTAGCACTTCACATCCATTTGAATTTCCATTGCATCATTTGTAATCTTAGGCTGTACCAATCACTAGCCTGATAAAAAAACCCCAAACCACAAAACTCAAAACAAAACAAAAAACCAAAGAAAACCAAAAAGATAGAGAAAGTAAAAGAATAATAGTATTCTCTGAAAATGTTATGGAGACTAAGCAAAACTCCATAAAAATATTAAGCCTCTTCTTGAAGAAAAGGAGGGCTACAAATCAAAATTATGTGTGCTAGGCTAGTGGTAATGCACCTGCTTAAGGACAGATGGATTGATATCTAACAAGAGATTCAAACAATTTTGGACATAGGTACTCTCATTTTCAGAAAGTATTCAAGTCCTGTATGTTTCTAGAATCTTGTTCTTGCCATCCATAGGTAGATAGGTTTATGCACATGAGAATTTCTAACTCTAAAAGTTCTAAACTCAGTGATGAATGGAAATGTGATTTCTGCAAGGAATATTTGCACCCAACAGAGGTGTTCTAGAATGGATCATAACCTGCAGCTACAGAGGGTTGCAGATGTTTAAGACTTGAAGCCAATTATATACTTCAAAAAACTAGTTCATCAGTAACAAGAAGGAAGGAAACAACAAAATTGCAATTGACCTTATCACAAAACCACTTGCAGTGGAGATTATCACAATACCATTTCCATAGTCCTGAAATCATTTGGAATATGTGATTTAGGTTCACCATAAAATTAACTGAGGTCTTTGTTCCCTCTACTTTGAATTCAATATTGATCCAAAACCCGCAAGTATCGTCATGGTCACAAAAGCTTGGAACGTTTCTTTATTTTGGTGGAATATCATGGGGGTAAAAAGGTATTTGCTAACTAAGAAATTCTAGCTTTCCTGGAGAAAAAAAAAAAAAAAAGTAAAAATCACACATTATAGATGTATATCATTCTTCATAGTCAATTATAAATAGGTTTACCTGACCAACTTAGCAAACAGACCCCCAAAGAAGAATAGGAGGAGAGTGGGCTCCTTCAAGCAGAGATATTGAAAGAAGAAAGAACAATCTATTGAGAAAGAGGGAAATTAAAACATAGATAGAAACAGTTGGCTGAAGGAAAAACAAGAGGTTAGTTTTATGTTTTCTAAAAGATGCAACTTAAAAGAGAGAAAAATCCAGAGGCAAATTCTATACTGATTTTAGCAGTTTTGATTAAATACAGTGAACATTAATGACTTCTTTTGATTTTATATTTGTGTCCATAAGGACACAATCTCCATGTAGATACCAGTAAATACTGACATTAGGGACAACACTTCAAAATTTCAAGCTCCTTTTTGGGACAAATAGGAGCACGAACTGAGAAAGAGCTTTTCAGGCTGCATCTTTTATAAAGGGCAAGTGGACTGGCAGAAAAACATTACACAAGAATATGAAAAGAAACAAGTTCTTTAATAGAATCCTGAAGTTTAACCATTAACACCATGACTGATATCCTGCCATTCTCCAGTATGGATATTTACAGCTCCAGTTCCTCATCCTTACCCTTCCCCATCCCACAGTTACCTCTTTCTGCTCCTTCCCACATCCACACTGCTGCTTCTCACACTCCCACTTTATTACCTGGAAAGCATTTTCTACTCTTCTTCTTGCTGAAGTAATAGTCATGCTAAAGGCATTCATTAGAAATTATATTTAATTTCATAAAGAATTAAATTATTTCAGTTTATTTTAAAATATACTTTGAAAATTTTTACAGGGTAAGAGTCAAAGCCCAAGTGTTTCATGAAGGGTCTATGGCTGGTAAGTTCTAAATTAGTGGTAAGCCTTTTACAGGTAGTAAATTAATGTCTTTTCCTTGCAGAGAAGGGCAGAAGTGCTTTTCTGAGCACTTGCCTTTTTAGGTCATCCATGAGCTTTTAAGGTGAAAACTGCCCTCTTTCATCTCCCCCTTTTCTGAATCAGCAGCCAGTGGGCCTCTGTGAGCTTCCACAAGGACATTAAGCAAGGTTCCTCCAAAGACCACCAGCTGGTCAAGGAAGCCCTGTCACCCCTTCTGCCCATGGAAAGAACCCACCTACTGAAGAAGTAGTTGCAAGTTTACTTACAGAAGGTTTTGGAGCAGATGATTTGCTGCTCTCTGGGGTCTTGGTTAACCACTCGTTTATTCGACTGGAGACACCCACCTTCAGTCCAGCAGTTTCCTGCAAAACAATAAAATCTAATCAGAAGACTATAAGAATAGCTTTTGCTCTGTTTTCATGGTTTAGATTTAAAAGCAAAGACAAGCCTGAGTTTAATATAGAGGCCCTCACTGAGCCTATGACTAGAGTCATCCTGTCTCCTCTGAAGGTATTGTCCCTACAAACTACAATAGTACTACTGCCCTCTAGTTTTCAATAATGATAAACGTGGACTGACAAAATCATTTCCACTCCCGTGAACCCAGGATGTTAGACATAAACACGCTCTTTCTGTCATGAGCCTGAACTCCAATAGCTTAATAGAAGAGACACCTGTCTAAGTCCATATTTTTTGTTTTGTTACACTATTTTTTTTCCAGAAAAGCACACTATAGAGAAGCTAAGGAGCCTAAAATTTAAAACATTAAAATCAATCTTTAAAAGGTTAGAACAAATTACTAAAATTTAATTACTATCTGAAATAACCCTCTTCAGTTTTTAACCCCCATGGCTCAGTTTTTTGGCTATGATAAATGCTCATCAGCTCACATCTATTTATAAAAAGAAGATCTTGCCTTAAGATCTTACATAGAAAAGATAAAGGTCTCACAAATACTTCTGTGCATTATCTATAAAACATCATCACTATCTTGCCTATTTAATCCTTCTCTGACCCCCAAAAGAACTTTTCCCAGCACAAAGAATTTGTTTGTACTCTGCTTGAACTGCCCAGATATATTTGTCTAAGATATCTGATGTGGCTCTGGAATGTCTCATAACTCAGCTCAGTAGGTTACTAAACTCTTGCATTATACTCAATATTGCAGCCACAAATTTTGTGGATTTCTGAGGTCCTCAGTATCCTTTGGGATATTCTTCACCAGTGATGTCAACAGGAGCAGACATGCTTACTCACAGGAAAGTGAATGGCAAGGTCAGGCCCATAGCATAATTCTTTATAATCATTATGTTCCACGCAAACCTTATTTGGTGTTGCTGTCCCAGAGGGTGATGAAAAAACATTCCCTTTCTCCCACATACTCTTGATATTACGGACACCCTCAGCTGCAACATGAAGGTCAGAAGCTGCTGGCTTAACTGGTCTTGAAGCCTTTGTGCCCTGGAAAAGAATTGAGGCCAGTTGGTGTTTGGCATTAAAAGCTGGAGGTGCAGGGTAGTTTGACTTTGGGGCAGTGCTGGAGAATGCTGTAAGTGGTTCTAGCACTGATCATGCAAGGATGAAAAGCAGCACTCAGCTCAAAAAGCACCACTGAGACTCTCTTCCCTTTTTGATTTAGTTGCACCCTTGGCACAACTAACTGAGATTATTGAAATCACTGAGATTTTTTCATTCATTTCTAAAATTTATGGCAAACCGTAACTCTGCACAGAACTGCTCCAAGGCTTTAATTTGTCCTTTTTCAAATCTTAGCACCTAAATCCTGTAAGCCTGGCTCTTTTAGGGATATGGCTAAGGAAATCCTTATTTAGAGGCAGGGAAAAAGGCTGCTCTGTCATTCAGCATCAGAGTCTGCTCCATCTGTCCCAGACAACTTAACCTTACAACACAGGATTTTAGGGGTAAATTTCAGCAATTACAGTATATTTGGAGTAGGGTAATCTTTTTTAAAGAGTGGAGAATTGGGGTGGGAATTTTTTGGTTTGCTTGTTTGTTTTGGTTTTTTGTTGTTTTTTATTTTTTTTTGGAAATGTGCTTTTTGCATAGACACTCGACCAAATTCTTCATCTTTCTTATTTTCAAAATTCTTGTATATTTTGCATATCATAGATTTGATGAGAATGAGATGAGAAGGAGAACCTGTACGAGCTGAGGCTTTGCCTCTAGTTGCAAAGCAAGTCAGATTTGGCAGATTTTGAAAACATTAAAAACTCAGCAAAGGAAATATTTCAAGTCAGATGGGAACTGTATATAGTTTGAATCCACATTGCCTTCCTCTTACTGTAGAGCTATGCTTTTCAATATCTAAATGGAACACAGCCCTACTGAAAATATTGGAGAACCTAATATAAGTCAGAAAAGGCATGGAGTGAAGCAGCATGACAGAAGTTCTATGCCCCTGTTTTGATGATATGGGGACTACTGGGTGCCATGCTGGCATTTGTCTCAAATGGAGGAGTTTGAGCTACCTTTAACTTGACCTAAGTGCTGGAGGCAAGCCCAAGCCTTCATCCTTTCATCCATGTGCTTTTTTTTTCATTGGCAACTGGCACACAATATAAACTCTCTGGCTGATAAGCTTTCTAGCAGAAAGGTTAAACAGGCAGCAGTACCAGGAAAAAAGACTATTAATTGATCTTGAATGACTATAGTTTCCTTTACATTAAATGATAATAAAGCCCAACCAATTAAAACCTTAGTGGAATACTGTGTTTAGACTCTACATGCAGATGAGAGGAGAAAAAAAATATCCAGCAGGGAAGGAAGAAGTGCTATACCTTTGTCACAGCTATCAATATCATATCCTTTTGTATACTATTGTATTTCCATAACACTTCACAACCCAGTCCAGTCAGCCTGCTATATTAACTAGTAGCTTTCACACTCACTGATTTATAAAAACAGCTAAAAAACCCTCGAAACAACAACAACAACAAAATCAAATTCCTATTTTTCTGTGAACTATGAAAAGAAAAAGTCCTCAATTCTGGTTCCTAGGCACATTATTAACCACTAGTTGTCAAAATCACCTGGGGTCAAATTCTGCATTTTAATGTGATTCTGTTTTTCCTTTGTCACTTCTTAACTCCCTTGTTCACTGTAGTGTATGTCTTTGCCAAGGAATTTCACTCTGAAGTGGCAGTGAGCAACACAAACCTAGTTCTCTGTTCTAAATAAGCTGCTAAGTCAGCTTTGCTTATGATGGCTATCAGCTCTGTGCACATAATTCTCTCATCAGGTAAGAAGAGGATGTAACTGTCACTCAAGATGCTGACTGAGTCCTTCAAGAGCTGCTCCAAGTTTACAAAACAGTAAATAGAAGCATGAAAGGGAAGAGGTTTTGTTTAGCTATATATCCAAATGTTGGTTATAGGGATGCCTGAAACATTTTCGTCTTGAAGTCACAGTGGGTTAGAGCCTGGTGCTAATAATGCAAAGGTCATGGGTTTGATCCCTGTGTGGGTCATTCACTTAAGAGCTGGACTCGATGATCCTTGTGGGTCCCTTCCAACTCAGAATATTCTGTGATTCTGTAAAAAAGCATTTGTGACCAAAAAATCCCTGCAATTCTTAAACAGTAAAACATAGGCTGATTAAAGCTCCCAAAGCCATTAGTAACTACATCCATTGTGACCTGGAGTTAACTTACCTCAATTGCACTTGTGTATTGCTCAAGTCTACTGTCAATCTTTGAGACAACTGCTGTCGTCTGGGTGGGCTTCATACCACTGTAGGAAGTAGGTAAGAAAACAAAAAAAAAAAGAAAGAAAGACATTATTATGCTCTCCAACTAAACTCTACTATTTGAACTGAACTTACTGTTTCCTTACTTTACCTCTTCTGAGCAGATTTGTTCAAAAATTCTGTTCTCTCCTCTATCTAGAAAGAGAGAAGAGCTTTAAGTTTAAGGTTAATAAAGAAGCAGCCTATGCAAGGCCAGGCTAAAATGTCATTTTATATGTCAAAAAGTCTGAAAAAGATACACTCCAACAGAAATCATCACAGACACACACAAAAGTTTTATAAATAGCAACCTATTATGATACAGATTTATAAAGGTGGATGTATTTTCTGCATGAATGTTTGCATCCTACACATTTCTTCAGAGCATCATTTTTTGTAACAAGAGAATAAATGACCAACATAGAAAGTAAAAAAGGGAAGAAGTTTATCTTATGGAAGGGTTTGATGTGCACCAAATCTACATTAAATTTCTTCATAATTCCCACATAAGAGCAAGTTACATATCTCTTGAGAAATACAGCAAATTTAATAAAGTTTTACTGAATCGAGATATCAGACTAAGCCAGGTTTGGATGTCAGCCACATCCCCTCTCTCAAGTATGTTTTTGGAGGACACTAACAATTTCATTTGAACTCCAGGAAACCAATCAGGCTAAACTCTGCTTGTGTTCAAGCAGGGTCACTGCTGAGTCAATATCCTCCAGTTGTTAATATACAAACTGATACCTTACATTTCATCCTTATTTTCTACTCTGTGTACAGGAAAACATTGTGATGTTTTCAGGGAAGAGGAATCATGAAGGTCTCATATGACTTCTGTATAATCTCTCAATATTTTGAATACAAAAAGTGAATAAAGTTTTAAAATATTTCATGATGGGGTGGATAGGTGTGTGTCTATTTGCCTTCTGGGTCAAGAAATATTTTCATCAAACTTTCTCAAGTCTTTTCCACATTACTTTTCTTCACTTCTCATCTGAGGCTCTACACATTCACTTAAAACAAAATATATGCAAGCAGCTCCAAGGGATTGAAATGACTAAAAATCAGTGTGGCTAGATTCCTGGACATTTCTCAGTCTCAGTAAGGGTTCTCTATTTTCAATTTACTTTAACAGTGACTGCTGTGGCATTCATGCCTTTAAAATAAGGCAATGACAGCCATTTCTTTAAATGGTTGTCTTCTATGCCTCTAACATCCAGGCTGTACCAGAGCACTAAATCCCACAGCAATCCCATCAAAGGGCATGACTGTTTTATTTCTTACACCCACACAAGCAAAAACTCAGGCAGTTCACTTCAGTGGAGAATTTGCCAAACAAGCTCACTGGAGGAACTCCAGCTAGCATCCATCCAGTTCAAAGGCACCTCTGAAACTCTAAATATATAATTTACACAGTGATTTATGTTAACAGTTTTAGTTGCTAATATGGAATCTAAAAGCAGTCCTGAGTGGAGAGATGGGCTTTGCTAGGGTAGATCCCAAGTGTTTCAGCGAACTGATGTCACAAGGTGGCAGCAAAAGACCAGGCAGGAGCAGAAGCCATCGCCCCGTGTCGGGAGCAGAAGCGTTACCTTTCCCTGCCGGAACAGGTTACAGCTTAGTTTCACCTAGAGGCATTGCCACAAAACGAGAAAGTAAATTATTTGATTAAAAGTGACTAAACAGACCAAGGATGGGAAGTCAAAACACGTCTCCTCTCTTCTACTACAGTATAGTGGAAGTTTCCCCCCCAGTGCTGATTTCTGGATCATAATGGATCAGCAATGCATCAAAATGATGAGTTACAGCAGCAAGAGCCTATAGTTTCTCCCTTGTCTGTCTACAACTGCATCAGTGAAATGCCGGTGGGCAGCAAGGACAAATAATATGCACTATCTCAAAGAACTAGGACTCAAGGTAACCACCTAATAATCAATTTACAGAATCTTCATAGTCTTTCATGTGCAGGTGGAGAAATGCTTCTGCACAGCAGGAAAACCAGGCTTCAGCAGGCACTAGTGGAAGAGGGGCGTAGATGGGAGAGAAGAGGGACACGTATTCTTGGGGTTGTAGTAAAAAGACACAAAAGTGGGGTCGTTCTTTACCCACTGGAAACAGTGGTTCTCAGACCACCTGGTGTGGTATCCGGAGTAAGTCAGGGATTGTTCAGAAGAGGAGAGTGAGGAAGCAAAACAGAAAATAAACAGGAAAGCAGAGTTACGAAGCAACCCTCAGAGCTCAGCAAGATACTCTGGCTGAGGAAGCAGGTGCCTTGTGTGGAGGGATAGAAATTTTCTACACATGTATATGAGAAATTGTTCTAAAGCATCTTCCTCAAAACACTGTATGCATGAAGCAGAAGCAGACATTGAATACATCTAGAGCAAACAAACCAGTATACACACATGTATTCAACATATAGGTCAAATACAGTTAGACTGCATAGCAACATCTAAAGGTCATGTATCCACTGCATATCACACAAACTCCATGCAAAGTATTTAAAATGTTTGACACATACAGTAAACAGTATTACAAAATAGATCTGTAAAAGAAATAGGCAAAGCAAAGTTATTAGCATAAAATGCAAGATATTTTCTCAATTTGAGACAAGAAACTAAGAATAATCTTTTTGCTACATTCATTTAAAAACGATCTTGTTAAATAGCTTGGACTGTATTTTGTCACCAAGGAATACTTTCAGAACACACAAGTATTGAAAAAAGTCAACCTGCCAGCCCCTAATTAAATTATGACCAGAGAGAAAGAACATAGGCTGCATCTCTACCACCTAATGTCAGCTACTTGAAAGTTAAGCATTTAGTCAAAATTAATCATTTTGTTTCTCTCTATAGTCAGTGGAGAGGTAGAGGAGCTCACTTCAGCATTAGTATTATTTGTCTGCTGAGGGTGGCTCTCACGCTACTGAACTACCAAAGAAGTTTAGATTGGATAACAAAATGCCTAGATGGACACCTACCCTTCTGCTGGCAAAGTCAGATGAAATGAAACCAATGGACATGAATCAAAACCATGTGGATTCTTATACCTGATTAAGGCCTTACTCAAAGAAGTCAGCACATACAGGAGGCAAGGAAGAAATTAAGCAAGATGTTATACAGAAAAACATGTTTGCATTTATCCACATTCAATACTATATAGACGAATGTTTGTTTGCTGATTGTGCAAAAAATATCTTGCCAACTGAAAGTGCAAGTTGAAGTGTGGGTGTCAAAGTGGTCTGTCTTCCATCTGTTTCTGCTCCAAGAGCAGAAACAGAACAAAGAATGAGTTAACACAATATGAGACTTGGAAACAAAAAACATTAGATATTCCCAGTAAAACCTATTTCATACAAATGTATTAAGTGATTCCTAGAAATTTTGGATATTTGGATATTACGCAACAGAAACTTGTAAATAGATATACAGAAAAACTCTTCTTTAAAAATGCGTTAAGGAGGAAGGGGAATATAAAGTGCACACAGAAAACAGAAAACCCTGTATTATAATTTTGCCTAATATCCAACATGGAAGAATGTAGTGGAAATCCATTTGCCGTGGTAGTCCTTGGGAATAGAGTGGCTTCTCCTTATCCTCCCTGAGTGGCTCACATTCTCTTTTGCTTCATAAAGCACAGTTAAGCTTTTTCCTGCTGTCAGCAGCATCTGTGCAGAGTGTACCAATTTATTCCAGTTTACCTACAAGACTACAGGTGCTGCCATCAGCACCAAAAATCAGTGAAAAACAAATGTCACAAATACTATTCTTACCACTCTATTTTCCCTCTGCTGCAAAGAGTAGTTTATCTAGGAAGAACTGATTGTGTGGAGCCTAATTATTTACACTCACTGCACCAGTTGTCAGGTATTGAGAGCAATAATGAGATATGACAAGACAAAAGAAAAAAAAGGTCTCAAGTCTATCTTCTGGCTTAGCTGTCAGCATTGCCTTGCAGAAAGTGCTGGCTCTCACACTGGCCTGTGTTTCCCAGCCTGCTGTCATTGCTTCCTCCCCTCCATGCCTAACTACTTTTGCTTTTCTCTAGTGGTGGAGTTCACCAAGAGGAGACTTAGTTTTGAAATACCCTGTTCTCTCTTAACCTACAGAATAGTTATACAAGAAGTCAGTAACCCTCCTTCTCAAAGAAAACGTGAGGAATGACCTTGTCTAAAAAGCAAAATGAACAAAGTTTATTCAGGACATCTCCTTCCTTGAGTGCAGCACCCTTTGCATGAACTAAATGAAGGAAAGGGTGAGCTAGAACCAGTTGGAAGAGCAGCAGAGGATGTTCTAGTCTTTGTCCTTATTTTAAAAACTAACAAGATAAAGGGCAAAGGTTGAGCAGACATTTGGTGCTATTGCTGCCCACAGGGACTCCACACAGCCCCGAGAAATCCAAGCTGCTTCTGTCCCTGAGCTAGTGATGAACTTGGTCTGCATTCACTTTGCATGCTTTCTCTTCGCTTTCTCCTCAGAAAGGACCAGTCCTCATACTATCACTGAGAGGACTCCATGCTGTAGCAGTTGTGCTGAAGAAGTGTCTCAGACTTAAGGGAAATACTGTATTTAACACTTAAAACAACAGGAGTTGTCAAAACTGTGTAGGCTGTGATTTATTAGAGGTCAGACTAGATAATCACAGAAGGTCTTTCTAAATATAAGCAGGTATGTATATTATAAGCATATGTCTATGTATATTATGTTTTTGTATACCTAAATTTTTATATGTGCATCCATGATCCATGTAATACATGGAGATGAGTTGCACACCTTGTCTCTCAATTCTGAGTTTGCATGCCATGCTAGTTCATGCCTTGCCTTATGGCAATATGCCACACTGCTTCTCAGATTATCTCCCTTTCCTTTGCTCTTATTCTTATTGTTCCCGAGTTCACTCGGGAATCAACATGCCCTACTTTCCTCATATAAGCCACTCCCAGGAACTTCTTTTTCTTCCTAAACACTTATCACAACATTATAAGGGACGGGGAAGGAAAAATTATGCTTTGCCAGATTATTATCCATAAGTCAGAATGTGCACATGTATCATATGGTATTTTTATACTGAGCCTCTCTTTTCTCATTAATTCCACCCACCCACCCACAATGGTGCATTTGGGGTTCTCACATGACTTATGACATGTCTAACAAGATGATACATTGATCAAGGGAGAAAACATATGCCAGATGTGTCGTGGTTTTGCCCTGGCTCAATTTACTTTTATACCCCTATACAATTACTATCAGTTGAGAGAAGGTTTATGCAGACAAAAAGAGACTGAATAAAAAAAAGTATGAGTATTTATTATTATTATCAAACTAAAACTAAAGAATTATATCTACAACAATTTTACTTAAGTAAAAGGTATTATGTATTTACAGAAGATACTTCTCCCCCCACCTCCCTTTATATCAGTTTAAGGAGGAGAGGCAGTCCTTTTCCGTTCTCGGAATTCCAGCTCTCTCTCTCTCTCTCCAGTAACTCTGCAGCACTTTCGTTGCAGCTGGAACTTCTTTATCTCTCTCTCATTCTGTGTTGACCTCCAGGGCTGGGTCTACCCCCCTCCTGGGCTAAAACCGAAGGCTGGGGGTTACCCAGGTCCTGAAGGGTTTCTTTCCATAGGCTTGCAAGGGGACACTTGCTTACTATGGATCTTCTTCCACAGGGTTACAGGGGATAATGGTTTAAGAGTTCACCCCTGTTTCCCTATGAAGGTCCCTCCCCATGGGAGAACAGTCCTTGATTGACTTCTCGGCATGGGTCTAGTCTGGATCCTACGCGTGGATCCCAACATCCTTACCCGAGCCGTTCCTGCTCCAGCGTAAGGCTCTCTCATTCCCCTCAGGGTCATAAATTTTCAACATCCCTACCCGAGCCGTTTTCTGCTCCAGCGTAGGTTCTCTCAGGGTCACAAATCTCTAGCACCAGCAGCACGGATCCCACACATGGATCCCAACATCCCTACCCGAACCGTTTTCTGTTCCAGGGTAGGTCCTAATTCCCATCAGGGTCATAAATCTTCAACAGCAGCAGCATGGATCTCTCACTGAGATCCCAAGCTTATCTGAGCCGTCTCGCTCCAGTATAAGCATCATCCCCTTCGAGGGTCACAGAGTCTTTAACAGGACTGTGCCTCATCCGAGCCGCTTCTGCTCCAGCATAAGGCTTTCTCTCTGTTAAAGTCACAAACCTCTGGTGCATCCACAAGCTCCTCTGTGAGCCGCACAGGGGGTCTTTTCACCCCAACAAACTTTCATAAGTGGCAGGGTTTTATTTTTCAGTCTTTACCCTGCTGAAGGGAGGGAGAGCGAAAGGGAGGAAAAAGCAGCTCTCCCCCCTTCGAACTTTTCTTCTCTCTCCTGTTACAGCTTCAGCTGCCAGTTTTGACCTTGGAAGTCTTGTTATCTCATGGCTGGAATTCTTCTGCAGCGGTTTCTTGTCTAAGCAGTTCGTCTTTTAAACCTTTTTTTCTTCACTCTCTCACAAGAGAGAAGAGAGGCTTCAGTGCTGCACCTGCCCCCCCCGGCCCAAGCCGGGGAGGAGGGGGCCTTGGCCCTCCTCGGGCCCGCTACCCTTCTACATGGCTGCTGTTCCTAATTTCAACTGCGCAACCAACCTTCTCTTCCGTTTTCTTAAAGATGTAATTAGCAAAGGCGTCACTGAACTTTTTGATTGGTTTTTTGTCCGGAAATCACCTGGACAAAACCATCCTCAGCCCCAGGGATGGGCTGGTGGGCAAAACAACGACACAGATGCTTTACAAATCAAAAGATAACTTGGGCAGTGCCACAGCAGGCAATGAGAAAGCTGTGAACCAACCAGGTTAGACCAGACTGAGAAGTCTGTCCAAACTCAAGGTAACAAAACATACTGTCTTCTAATAACTGGATTTTGACATCAAATTTCACATCAGGCTATTAAACTGAGATTATTCTCTCCTCAGCTATTAACCACAGAAGGCCAAGAAACAGTTTAGAGTGTGAACTTCTACAGCATTACATATCTACACTGACCACCCACAGACACTGGTCTGGAATTACATATCAGGTATCACTGATTTCTCAGAGAGAGAAGCAGAGAAAATGTGTAGTGTTTTGTAACGATTTCTGCCCAACAAGCCATAAAAACCAGCAGCAATTATCATTTAAAAAAAAAAAAATTGTACCTTGAATGCTTAAAGATATTTGGAAAATTTCAGCTTTCCTTTAAAAAGACACTTAGTAGAGTAATGCAGCATAGTCCAAAAGTTATATGAAAGCCCTTAAACTCCTGCCAAATCCAGGTTTTTTTCCCACTTTCCCCAAAATATGTATGTTTCTATTTTGTGTTTTCAAGTACAATTTCCTCTATTCTGAGTCTTCTGTGAATAAAAGCTCCAAAGGTACATCATAAAAAGGCATCTCAATAAATGAAAGAAGAAAAGGAAGCCCTTCCAGGAGGGCTGGAAAGAAGCTGTATATTTATAGTGTCTGTTACCGGCATTATGTTTAGTAACCAAAATGGCATCACTGGATTTATCTAACAGGAAGTTGTGAAGCTTGGCAGTCTTCATTTACAGCTGCATGTATTCTGGCCTAGTATTTCAGGTTCAAACATGTCTTAAAAGTCAAAGGCAAGTCCATTCAACAGTATTTGGACCCAAAACAGTACAGACCTGAATCCCCCAATTAGATCAAAGTGTACGTCTTTATGAGTGGAAAAGTAATTTTGATCAAATGCAATTTTTCACTCAACAAATACAATTCTTAATCTCATGGAGATCCACTTAATGGTTCAATGAGCTCCTACCTGATAACCTCCTGCCTGATTCTTTTCTCTCCTAGTTTTCACTAAGCAGCCTTTTTTTGACAAAGAGTTTGAATTCTTAAATGACTAATAACACAAGATGACAAATGGGAGAGATAGTTGAAAACAATGAATAGATCTGCTGCTTGAGCTAAGAAAGCAACTGAAATGAATACTAAATCAAAACTCCCAATAATTTCAGCAGGGCCAGGATTCCTCTTCCATGCTGAAAGGCCATTTAATTGATTCATCCCACCTGCAATATAATATAGGCCACAAAACACCATTTAGAAATTCTTCAGCAACAGAAGGGTGGGGTTTTTCTTGTTATGTAAGAAAACTGAATCCAGCCCAGTACTTCTAGAGGTTACTTTTAGGGAGATTAGACATAAATTAGAACTTCCATATGGGTCAGTTTCAATTAATGATGATTAGGCTAGATATGTTTAAATCAAAGTAATCTGGTAAGGAAGCAAATAATTGTGGATGTGGAAGGAGTGAGAGAAGGTTTGTGACTGAATGATCTTAGAGGTCTTTTCCAACTTAAAAAATTCTGTAATTCTACTCCAGTTCACAAGGCACTCCTATAATAAATTAATATTGAAAAGCAATACAATAATACAGCTCTAAGTATCCCAAATAATTTTCTCTTGAAGGTGAAGATCCTTTTTGGATATTTTTCATCAACAAGAACAGATAACTCCCAGTCTAGACTCTATTTTCAGAAAGGATCTCTAATTTTCAATCATCCCAATGAATGAAGTCTTTCAGTGAAAAGTTTCAGTGCAAAGCATCTTCCTAGGTCTGATTACAAGTATTTCTACACTGCTCTAATGTTTGGCTGTTAGTTTGGACTACAAATCTCATTATTTTTTATGTTCATATAGATGTTAGTGAGGAGGTTACCTTTAGAGATGAACCTTTAGGACTGAAACATTTAAATGGTTTCTTGTCTTCAGATACACCATCTTCTGGTATCTTTTGACGCTTCTCAGCAGCTTCAGCCCTTCTTCTTTCAATTTCTTCCTTCATCCTCTTCTTTTCCTCCTTAAAAAATATGAATGGTTACTTTTTCTTTCAGAAACTACATCACCATTGCAGGGCTGTTGAGTCCTGCAAACCAAATTTTCTAAGAACAGACTTTCATGCCAGTTGAAAAAGTTCAGTGACCTGTCCAAAATCTATAAATGCATTAAAGCTAATTCATCTCAGTATTGAGGGTGCCAGGAAGACAGCTAGTCTGTGCTGCTTTACTGTCTCCTCACAGCGAAGTCACCAAATATATTGTCATATAGTGCCACTTAAAGAGAGAAAAAAAGCACATTTAGACTCAAATTAAGTTTCTCTGTATTTTCATGTATCATATTGGTACTGTTCTTCTGTCCATCTACTCTGACATTTATTGCACCAAGGTTAATAATTCACAAGAAAAAATCAGTAAGTGACCAAAAAAATTAAGATTAAATGCTTACAGTTTTCCCTTCACAGAATCACAGAATCAGCTAGGTTGGAAAAAAACTCTGAGATCATCAAGTCCAACCCAACACCACTTCGTCTACTAGACCATGGCACTAAGTGCCACATCCAGTCTCTTCTATCACCTCCAGGGACAGTGACTCCACTACCTCCCTGGGCAGCCCACTTCAATGTCTGATCACTCTCTCTGTAAAGAACTTTCTAATGTCTAACCTAAACATCCCCTCTCAAAGCTTAAGACTGTGCCTTCTTGTCCTACTGCTGATTGCCTGGGAGAGGAGTCCGACCCCCATCTGGGTACAACCTTCTCTCTCAGGTAGTTGTAGAGAGTGATGAGGTTTCCTCTCCCCTTGGCCAGGTTAAACAACCCCAGCTCCCTCAGCCGCTCGTCACGGGACTTGTGCTCCAGACCCTTCACCAGCCTCACTGCCCTTCTTTGGACACAATCCAGCACCTCAATATCCTTCCTGAACTGAGGGCCCAGAACTGGACACAGTACTCAAGGTGCGGCCTAACCAGGGTTGGGTAGAGGGGCAGATTCACTTTCCTGGTCCTGCTGGCCATGCTATTCCAAATACAGGCCAGGATGCCATTGGCCTTCTTGGCCACCTGGGCACACTGCTGGCTTATGTTCAGCTTCCTGTCAATCCAAATTCCATGGTTCCTTTCTGCCGGGCTTCTCTCCAGCCACTCTGTGCCCAGCCTGTAGCACTGCAGGGGTTGTTGTGTCCAAAGTGCAGGACCTGGCACTTGGCCTTTTTGAGCCCCATATAGTTGGATTCAGCCCATCTATCCAGCCTGTCCAGGTCCCTCTGCAGAGCCCTCCTGCTTTCTAGAAGATCAATGCTCCTCCCCAGCTTGGTGCCATCTGCAAATTTGCTAATGGTACACTCAATCCCCTCATCCATATCATCAGTGAAGATATTAAACAGGATTGGGCCCAACACTGATCCCTGGGGGACACCACTGGTGACTGGTCACCAACTGGAGGCAGCCCCATTTACCACCACTCTCTGGGCCCAGCCCTCCAGCCAGTTCCTAACCCAGCACAGAGTGTCCCTGTCCAAGTCATGGGCTGCCAGTTTTTCCAGGAGTGTGCTATGGGAGATGGTGTCAAAGGCTTGGCTGAAGTCCAAATATACTACTTTAAAGAGATGAGTTTTGCTTCACTAGCTACAAGTCAAACCAGAAGCCTTCAAACATCATCGTGAGTGCTGGTAAAGGGGGTTCTTGGCATCTATTGAGTTCTGTTGTAAAGAGCTTAATATATTAAAGAAATTGCCACTCAGCTGTCAGATACTATCATTATTATTCATTTACCATTTGTTTTCCAAACAACTGGGATTCCTAAATGATGCACCAGAGATTTGGAAATCCTATTTGTAGAGTCTCTTGGCAGAAGAAGTACAAGAAAACAGATGTGTTGGGTACTCAGTATTTAAATAGACAGGAATATCTCCCTAATGAAATCTAGCCCATTGTAACTATATATAAAATTAGGATTCCAGCTCATTTGCAGCAGACGAATTTTGACATGCACTTTGTAATTCAATTTACATAATGTCAGATACCCTGAACTCTGTGGCTATAACTCTTCCCCCAACATTTTGCATCCCCAAGAAAATAAGAAATTCACAACTATTGCAGATGTAATCTCAACTCATGAATACACATATTAGAGCCCTGCCTTTCCTGAGGCAAGAATAGTAAAATTTTTTTCTACCCTGCAGGACTGCATGTTTTACCCCAGGTCTTCCCTAGAGGACCTATATGATATGGTCACTTGATACCAAATACAGCATATTTGCAGTTAAACCTGAAGGTTAGAAAATGGGGTGATTTTAATTGTATTTGAAATCAAGGTGTCTTGCAACAGACCATCTGCTGATAGGAACTAAGAAACAGCAGTGTCCTCAATCCAGAGGACTCAGATAAAGGCTACAATTTAAAGCAAAGCCACAGCATCAATTCCCCATTCAGCAAATGCAGATTTAAGAATGAGAAGTACCTGTATGTTTGGGTTCAGTCTTGCCTTCCTCCTTGCCTTCACATGCTCCTTCCTCACCTATAAGCCAATCTCCTGTGGCCTCATTCTGCCCTTTGGTTAAATACAAGCCCATCGGCCTTCAGCCCCACCAACTTCTTTTGCCTAAAAATGTCTCTGCAGACAATGCCACAAAGAGGCACCAACTAATTCAAAGATAGTGCAAGTATGGTAGTAACCAGGGAATAAAACCCACATCTAACACTTCATACTTTATATTTACCTCTTCTCTGACTTTTCTTTCAGCTTCCTCCTGCTTCTTCTTCTGCTCCTCTTCCTCCAGGATTTTCCGGCGCTCCTCCCTCCTTTTCTTCAGTTCATCCAGCTCTGCTGCTGCCTCCTGCTGCTTCTCCTTCAACTTCTCTAGCTCCTCATTATCATTCTCACCTCGACGACGGCGCTGATCTTCTAGCCGCTTTAGAGCCTCGAACCCCGGCTTCAATTCCTCAGCATTTGTAGTCCCTCTCAAACTGGAGCGTCTGGGAAAGAAATGAAAGGGAAGGTGATGCACCATGTGCTTTCCTTTCCTGTCCAGAGCCACCCGCTGCCATGTGCTCACCAGCAGCATGAGAGAAGATATTTCCTTATAAGACCTTTTGCTCCTAGCAAACTATGAGAGGCCCAAAACATTTTCATCCGGAGTTAGTAGGCTGGGTTACTACAAGGAAAACCTCTCCCATCTGCTGCCAATGAGGAAGGAGTGTCTCATATGCTTGTGTGCACACAGGAGCTTCATCAATCTGCCCAAGAACCTGTGCCACCTCCATTTTTAAAGAATTCAATAACCGAAGTTGAAATACTTAACATCTCTTGAAACTTCAGTAAGAGGTATAATATCTTATCAGCATCCCTACTGTAGACAGCAAACTTACTGTTCAACAACTCTGCTCTGCAGTTCGCATACAGAGGAAACACTTCCAAAATCATATTGCACTTCATACACAAAAAAAAGCAAAGGAAAGTCATAACTAACTCCTCACTGCTGTCTTTAAATTGGATAAATTTACATATAAAGACCTCACAGCAAAAATATTATGCTGTGTTCTGCGTAATAAATGATGCACGAAACCTTTGCTTTTAAAGGCAAATATTTTTTATAAGCCCTCTAGAGAAAGACAAGCATCTTTGGGGACAGAACAAATTACTTGACTCACGGAAAATAGAAGGAAATAAGAGAGGGGCGGAATGTTACAGTTTCAACAGTGTTTTAAAAAAACCTAAAAAGTTTCCTATCTCATCTACAACACCTAACACTTCAAGTGTCCCAGCACATACGAACAGAAAGGTTCACCAGAGTTTTTGCTGATGTTTTCTAGGAAATGTATGGCTTTTTAATAAGAAACTGGAAATTATTTATTAATGGTAACTTTCCACAGGAGAAAAATAGAAGTTTTCCAACCAGTTGTAATATATGAGACAGAAAGAAAGAACAGCAAAGAAACCCAAGCCCCAAACCTAAAGAATGTGCATAGGTGAAGTGCATACTTTCAACAGAGTCAAACAACATTGCTTTGTTAAATAACTATCACATCAGTGTTTAGACAAATGTCTGCTCTGTGAGTGTGTTTAATGTTACAGCTGACAAGGAGATAGGTTACTAAGGGGTATCAGTGTGCTATTCACAAGAGACAGAAAGACAGAAAAGAAAGATACTTACTAAATACTTTTAAAAAACTTTCTGTACCGCTGGCATCCAAAAAAATTGGATATTAATGACTTCATTAATGCAATCAGTGTTGCAGAGTACAATACCGCAAGACAGTATAAATCAAACATTCCAACAATAACTGTTAGAGATGACAACATGAAGAACACATATCATATAAATTTGCAATCCAGTGAATTACACCCAATCCTGGGAAGGTGCTCATCATTCAGATAGATGCAGCATCCAGACGGAGTTAACCATATAAAACAGGCTATAGATCAGAGCTGAATTATTTGTGGTTTCAAAATAGTAAAATCTACTAACACAGAGTTCTCTGCTCCCACATGATCTTACTAAATTGGATGAAATTTGGTTCTAGCATTGCATGCATGATTTGGGAATTTTATCACTAAAAAAAAATATAGCAAATAGCAAAACTCATCTGTTTCAAGCTCAGTATGAAACACTGGCATTTATTTTGCAATGTATTTACTTGGTTTTAGAAAGTCTTTTCTATGCAAGAATATAACATCACAAAGCAAAGCTAAAGAAAAAAAGTCCCAGAGGTCTGTAAATGTGTTTACCTCCAGCAGTCTCATACCTGATTTTCTAACCTAGATTTTCTAACTAGAGTTAACAAGTACATAATTTATATTTCCCTAACATCACATTATCACAATCCTTTTCTGCTGCACTTTCAGCCCTGTGGTTTTTTGCATTGCAATCATTTAAACCATGAGAGTAGAACCACAAGACCACCCTCCATCATAAGTGTCAAGTTAAAATAAGTGACCATGAATAAGGGAGCAAAGTCCAATTACAGAAAGAAACTCTTGCCTTTTTTAATTTAAAAATAATATTGAAGTATGATTTTGTGTGGCTACCCAGACTGAAATATCTCTGATTCAGTTTGCAGAGATACTGAGAACCTAAAATGTTCCCTGAGCCTCTACAAGGCACTAAGTATTCCTAAGGATCCAGTGCACCTAAAGCTGCACAGGACATGAGAAATCCCTGGCTATCTTAAGGCTTTCCTGCTTCATTACAAAGTTGTAGACTCCATAGCAAACAAACCCAGGAACCTCACTTTTTTTTTCATTGCCTCTTGTCTCTGAAGTCTGTGTTGCCAACCCACCAAGACCTGCATGCTTTGGGTCCAGAAAGATGCAAGAGATCACTTCTGATGGATAGTGATCTCCATGGCAAGGGCAAATACTTGACCTTCAGAATTAAGAGAATGAAGAATGTAACACTTGCCAAGATCCATTCTGTTCTACATCAGTACAGAAGTCCTCAGTAACTTCAGTGCAGATAGCCTCAGTGAAATTAACAGCTACTCTCAGCTTTCAACTGATAGAAGCCAATTGCAGAATCTAGTGTTAACAGTTTTGTTTGGAGACCTCAGATGATTATTTCGGCCTCTTTACAAAAGAGGACATTTAAATTTTCTAGCTTATTTTATTCTTATGCTGCTCACAGGACTACTGATTCTGCATAATTCAAAATAGCAAACAATAAATTGGCAGTAATTCTCCTTATTTTCCTCCACTTCCAAATGCTCTGTTTTCAATGCTCTGTTGCCTACTGTTGACATTGTTAAATTAGCACTGAGATGCTGAGTGGAGGAAGAGTTTTGTAAGCACCTTTTTGGTGCTAAGAAGTGAAGATGATTGCTGCTTTCAGACAAGGAGGAAAAGGAAAGAAGTGGTTTGTGGGAGCCAAAAATGTCAGAAGAATGTGAAAAACAAATGTTACATCATATTTAAGACTTTTGCAGTCCTGTATGAGAATAGGGAGGGAGGCAGGTAAGAGGAAAGATGGGAGGGGAAAGCCATAAAATGGGGGTTTATTCTGTACTTCTCTTACTTGTCGATGTAGACAAAAAGATAAAATTTTTCTTTAGCCTCCACTCCCCTATTTTGTTCTCAAACCTCACCACTGAGAATTAGCCAAGTTACATTCTTTCTAGCTAGAATTGATATGTTCATGTTAAAAAGAAACAAACAAAAAAAGAAACAAAAACCCAACAAAAACAATCAAACAAAACAAACCAAAAACCAAAAACCAAACCAACAAAAACCCCAAAACCCACAACAAACACAAACAAACAAAAACACACCAAAAAAACCCAACGAAAGGCAGTTCCAGACAAAGCCCAACTCTGTGGAGGCAGTTCCTTAGAAAATAGGCCAAGAGCCCTAATTCATATCTAACAACCCAACAAACACTGGAGCCTCTGCTGATGTTGCCAACCCAAGTCTTTTACTCAGCTAATAAAAGGTTACTAAACAGGCTTATTTCCACTTCTGTGAAACAGAAATAGGAAAGTAAGGAGTGAAAGCTCAAATCCACATGTTGCCTCTGATGCCCATATCCCGTAGGAAGTAAAGCAAATGAAAACACAACAAAATTAATTTTAGAAAATCATTCTTATGCTATTGATGAGGCCATGAAGCAGGACAGTTTTGAGTAAGGTCAATTTCCTGCTATTCCATCTCTGTCTTTTGACTTTAGGTCAGGGTGTCTCCAGGGTATTTTGAATTGCATTTTATTTTGAGAAAGTTTGCTTTTCCCGGAAGAATCACAAGGGGAGATACAATAGCAAATCCCATCTGCCATGCACAGATTTCTCAAAGTGCCTGGACAGTTTAACCTTTTCTTTACCTGTGTCTATGTAGGAGGAAGAGAGATGCAGAAGGAGAAAAATTTAGATTTCTAACCTACTCATCCCTGGGTTTCTGCTAAAAGGAAGAATTTAATTTCTGCTTCATGTATCCCCTGCTTTTAGGAGGCAGGAAGGATCCTTTTAAATTAAATATTCACTACTAATTTGTTTACCTTCATTGAATTGCCCAGTGTAGCCATAAGGCAAATATTTCCTTAAAAAGAAAAATAAAAACCAAACTCTGGTCCAGCTTATAAAAAGGAAAAAAAGATAAAGAAAAAAAGAATATTATCACCTAACTGAAAAAAACCACTCTTCTAGAGAAGCCATTAATTTCAAGGTTTGCCTTGAAATCAAGAGAGAAGTTCTTTCAGGAGTTGTCACCAGGATTGTGCTTCATTCTGCTACACAGAGTCTAATTAAAAACAGATGGGTAATTGGAAATAGGTTACTAAAGTAAACGTTGAGATCTGACCAAAAAAATTAGAGAATATAAAATCTGGGTTGTCATTTCTGGCCTCTATGCAGATATTAGAAACAAATGAGTAAGGAAACCCACAGCAAAGTGAAAATAAGACACTTGTCTCTACTGAGGGAGCAAGGCTATTGAAATCTGCTTTCTGTACTTCATTTTGTTACTGCAACAAGATGGGGGTAGTTGTTAGAAACCATATACCTAAACCCAATGAACGCCTGAGTCTCTGCTGATTTTTCCAATCCAATTCCTCTACTCAGCTGCTACAAGGCTATTAAGCAGAGACCCAGAGATGGCCCCCTGCTCTGCTATAACACAAGCAAGCTCAATTCTTACTTGAAACTTACCCGAAAGCATTCTCAGTAGATTTAAGTTTTGGGGCAGTGAGTTCACGTTCTCCATTCTGTGTCTTTTGTTCAGGAACACCCTTCTTATGATCCCAGACACTTTTCATTTCCTCTTTGGGTGCTTTTCCTTTATCTTTGTCATCTTTTATCTGTTCAGGAGATACCATAAATCACAGAACAAAACACAAGAAACAAACAACAAAAAAGAAGTCACAATAAGACATTCTAATTAACAGCAGAGAAACAGATTTCTTAGTATTAATGGGAACTCTCTTCAAAATGTTTATGTGCTTTATGGCAGAAGTAGTCTGTAAAGCTCTAAACTGTGATCAACCATCGCTCTCCTGAGTGATCAAAGCCTCTTGTATAGCATTCTGTGAAAGTGTTTGTTGAAGCCATAGGACTGTGCTACCATACTAATTTATTCTGCATCTGCATCCCAACTCTCTTCCCTTCCGCTGCAACACCACTCACCTGTTCCCTTTTAAGATTCTGGGTTGCAAACTCTTTGGGACTAAGCTTGTGCATATAGTTTCAGTACAAGGTTTAGGGCATTGGTGCAATATAAATAACACATAACTCCACTGATTGTCAAGCTTGCTTGACAAAGTTCAAACTCTTTTTGGTGCCATAGCACATCTTCAATATTGCAAGAATAATGGCCAAAACACAAAATTCTCTTTGCATAAGACTAAAGCTTACTCTAACAAAAAGGACAATCCTACCAGGAGCTAGTCATGGGTAGTGTATCAGACATGAATATTTCATCCTATGGAGAAGCAAACGCTGCAGAAAATGCTAGAGTAAAAATTCCCTTTATCCTTCCAAAGCTTTGTCCTAGAATTCTTAATAGTAATCCATTAGTGCATGGATTTCATTCTCCAGAATTCCTTCAGAGTTATGAGCTTGAAGTATTTATCAATACCTCAGATGACCAGATACCAGCATGCTGAGTCATGATTAGATGCTGTTAAGAGGAGAAAGTGGACTGATTTCTTTATTCTCAGGTAGAAAGATTTTCACTCAGCTAGTTAAGACTACCAACCAAAATAGACTTTCAACAGCAGCAGATGAAACATGTACCTCCAAAACATTTATTTGCTTTCCCCAGCTCTACTATTTTGGCAGAATATTCTAGTTGGCAAGCAAGAAATACCTCCTGTGAAGAATTCAAATGGAGACCTTTAGAATATAAATACTTTTGTCCTTTAGGAGCCTGGCATGTTGCCATCCCTGTTGCTAACTAGAAAGAAAAAGAATTTGTATAACAGTTCTGTCTGTAACATAACTGCTTTTATGGTGTCCTAAGCTGCACCTTGAAATAAAAAACTAATATACACCCTCACCCTCAAATCAAATGAAATTTCTATCCTTTCTCATTGAAGAATGACTTCTGGAGGTGTAATATCTTTATCAACAAAGGATGAGCTCAGAGTCTTCAAAGATCCTCCTAAGGCAATGAATTAGGCTGTTGCTGAGTGAATTCCCAAAGTCAGTCTCTGACTTAAGCTGAGGCCAGTTTACTTGCTCACAGAAACAGATAATACCATGGTGGCACACACTGTAAGTGAGTATGGAATGGTTAAACTACTCAAGCAAATTTGACACTGGTGGGGGAGGCTGGACACAACTCACAGAGGCATTTGCTCTGTCCTGGGAGCAGGCAGCAGCAGTGCAGACTTTTCCCACCCTCTCCTGCCAACAGGCTTTAGCCGTGACCTGGCAGAAGCACCCTGACAGACAGGAGGGAAGTTCAGCTTCCATGACCCTGCATTCTTTGACCATGATGCTGTAACTGCTACAAGCGAGACCTTTATTACCAGCAGCCTCAAGGAATGATTTACTGTTTTCTAGGAGCTGAGACAACCACGGCTATTCACTGATCCTAATGAGTGCCAGCAGACAGTAACATCTTTTGGGTGTTCCCAAATTTGGGTGAGACTGTAGCTAGTGATCACGATCACAGAAAAAGAAAAACAAAAAAAAATCTCTGTTGCCGGTTAGCAGTCTTCTAACCCTTCAGTCCCAGTCAGCGTGATACTGAAACTGGTTGTGTTGATTGTTGCAGAATTTCTCATGCCAGGATGTCTGTGTTGGGATTTTGAGAGCATAGGATTTCCTTGGCTGAGATTTTCATCAAGACCTTTCTAAGTCTTATTAAAAAGCCAACACTTCCAGCCGCCTGATGCATTCAGGTCCACTGGGGAGGGTCATATCTCTTGCATCTTAATTGAAATCCCTGAGAAAACGAATATTAAAACAATATAGTTTGAAAATTAGTAGGTTAGGAAATAGTATTTCAGAAGCCAGTAGGATTTATGATAATGTGTCTGCATTCGAGAAAACCATTAACACAACTTGGCCTCTTTATTCAAAAAGATGGTAAAACAGGATATTACAGAAAAATTTCACAGCTTTTGGGTCCAATCCTTCTCCTATTAATTTTAATGTCAAAATAGAGATTGATTAGCACAGAAGAAGAAACTGTTGCATCCTATTCCAAAGGCAGGAAACAGAAGAAGTTCTTTCCCTTGTCTCACTGCTTCCCTAAATTACAGACTAATTCAGATTCTGCTGAATTCAGTAAAAATTACTACGCAGTAGTAATTATTACACTGACTCCACATGGAACAGACGTGATGTTACCTGAATTGAAACAGTTCACATGCTCTCACAAATCTTGATATCAATATAGAATATGACCAAGGGCATGTTTAGTGAATTTTCAGCTTTATGTATTTATATTTTAATCTTTCTCTACACTGCTTCTTTTCAGTTAGAGTTTTATGCTACTATTTGAGAGCTGAGATTTCTAAATCTGAGTTTGAACACCTTCAGACTGAGGCAAATCTGATACTGAAGTTGGGGTCATCTGCCAAATCTGATTCCTTATTTCAGCTCAGTTACTTGTTAAAAGTTACAGGGTTTTTTTTTAACTTTTTAACTTAGCTCAGTTACAGTTAAAAGCTGTGGGCATCTGGGTCTAAGGCTTCCATGTAGAGCCAACTACTATACCCAAATACCATGGGAAAAGCAACTGTTGCAGCACAAGCTGGAAGCAGGAAATACCGGGAGTCTCACATCATGAGAAAGCTTTTTCTTATGAACTTTTCAGGTCACTTTTAAGAAACAAAGAAGAAAATGAGACAAATTTTGCTTGCCAATTTGATCAAAATCTGAATTTTGAGGGCCAGGTTTTGATCACATTAAGAAAGAACATGTGCTTGTGTTGCATGAATGCAAAAGAAAAATCTGACTTTGTAGATAGACTGTATTGCTTCAGGATCTTATTCACTGCTGTCCTCTTAATTGCATGTATGCTCAGAAATAGATCTCATTGAATTTGTATGTCCTTGAAAGGGGGAAAGGAATGGAAGTGGGAGACTGATCTTGCCTTGGTTTGGAGTCCAATTTTGTCAATTTTTCTTCACAAGCCAGGAAGCAACAACCAAGATTTTCAAAACACTTTGAATGTTCAGTGTGATAGATACACTTGCAGAAGATTTACCTTTCACTGGATGGCTATTCAGCATTGCACTAAAAATTGGATTCTATTACATCGTCTCAGCTTGAGCATCCAAAGATGGAAACATTAAAATCACAAGTAATTTTTAGAAGTCTTACCAATTTCCTGGAATAATCTAGTCAGTGGGTAGGGTTTAAAAGCATGATGACAGCTCCAGTGAGAGTTGACCGAGCTCCACATAAACACAAGGAGGACAACTGTGTCTCAAGTTCCCCTCCAAAATCAAAGTCTGTGTTCAGTTACAGACTCCTTTTTACATTTACTTGTAATATTCAAAGACATAAGTGAATATTGGAAGCTAATTCTGTCTTTTGAACTCTTAATGTAATCCATTTCTTATTTTTTTGCACAGCTCTTACCTCTAAATTGGATTAAAGTGATTGTCTACTTTTTCTAGTACACTATTCTGAAGGTCTCATTTAACACTTCCCCTTACTAGAGTAATTTATTCTAGTATTGCCAATCTCTCTCCTGATTCATTAGGAACCTTTCTTCTAACCATCTTCATCACTTCATTTGTCTTTTCCATCTCACATGAAACTTATTCAAAATATACCTTGGATAATCAAGCCAGGCAATCGGACATAAAATCTGATAACATGATTTGCCTTCATCACTCTCTGAGAGTGAGCTAAGCATCTCCAGCATGTTCTGAATTGATCCAACATCTAAGGACTGGAGCTGACCCTCTTCAGCTTCAATGCTCCCATGCAACTGGGTGAACAGCAAACTGCCTGTTACTACATCTTTGTGGTGGGCCTCCCTTTAAATCCAAGTGGGTCCAAGCCTCTAAGGCTCTAACCAGTCTCAATGCCTAATTAGAATTGGGGGGTATTTTGAAACCTGCTGCAATGAACCAAAAGCACAGTTGCTACACAGCACTGAAGATGGCTCCTTGTGTCCAGCTGTAACCTGAAGAGTAAATGGTCCCCAGATCTTATTTACTTACCATACAGTAAAACATCATGGCACCAGCTCCTGTGTTTACAGTAGGAATGCAATGCAGTAAATTTTGTAGATTTTCTCTTTAAAACAAAAGAAGAATCTTGGGTATGTTGTTTATATAACAGGGTATTGCAGTTTTGGAGGAAGTCATCTGTTAAGGCAGGCGGCCAAAGGCCTAGATGATTATTATTATATTATTATTGTAAGAGTAGATTTCATTCACAGGGAAAAAGTTCACAGTAAAGTGAGAGGAAACCAAAGAAGGATGATTAGTTGATACTGTTCTGAAAAATTTATCTCTAGGGTGCAAACCATCCTTGTATAATTGATCAAACTGAGTTTCCTGCAGTATTTGTTTTAAGACAAACATGAATTGGTTCCAAAGCCACCAAAGAAAAAAATATTTAAGCATTTACTTAATTTTAAACACTTAAGTAGTTTCATCCCTATTTATTTTAGCAGAATTACACACATTCTTGAAGTGAAGCACCTGCTTAAGTACTTTGCTGAAGAAGAAACTTTCAGTTATAGATGTCCTACTTGTTTTCTTATCTCAAGTTTCCCTTCCACATTTAAACCAATGGTTTATGAGTTACCTGGTCTTTTCTGGAGGTAGGTTGGAGCTTCTCTTCTGGTAACTTTGCCCTTTTAGTTTCCACTCTAACCTCCTTTTCTTCCTCCTTTGTTTTTGGGTTTTCAATAATAACTTTTTTAATGCAAAAACATCACATATGTTTGCACTTCTGTTTCTCCACTGTGTTCATGTACCAATCCTGGGTGCAGCCACAGCTCCATCATATGCTGCTGTGCCCACATCTCCGTGTGCCACTGTGCTCCCTCCCTCTCCAAATTCTCCACCCTTTCAACCCTCCCCCTTCACCCTCTCCCGTTTCCCGCCCCTGGGCCTTGCTCCCTTGCGTGGTATCATGCTCACATGTCTCAGCAAAGATACCTCTCTTGTGATCGCATTTAACACACAACATTCCTCCAGGTGCTCATAATATTTTGTACCAATCTGTGTTTGCCTCCACCTCATGTGTGTTACTGCATTAGGCAGTTTATAGCAGCTGAGAAAAAAAGGTAGCGAAAAATCATGCAGAGGTCTGAACATGCAAGGTTGTCTTTGAGTGATAGAGTGAGGTCAGGCATGTTGTGCACTGAATTATTGGTAAGCAGAAAGAGCTTTATTTTTAAAAAGAGAGAGTGAGAGCATAAGTATTAGTCATTTCAATGCAGGAATAGATCTGTGAGGAAATTCCAAATCAATCTCTTTTTTTCTTGCATTACATTTCTCACAAACAACAGGTGTCTTAGTTTGGTGCAAAATGTTTACTGTACCTGTTTTCTTAATGCTTGGGTTTTTTCCTCTTGCACTTTCATCTCTTTTACCTGCTTATCCTCTATTTTCTGTTCTTCCATCTTTTGTTTTTCCTTTAATTTCTCTGCTTCTAATCTGGCCCTCTCCTCAGCTGCCCTCTTCTCTTCTTCTGCCTTAGCCCTCTCCTCAGCTGCCCTCTTCTCTTCTTCTGCTTTAGCCCTCTCCTCAGCTGCCCTCTTCTCTTCTTCTGCCTTAACCCTCTCCTCAGCTGCTCTCTTCTCTTCTTCTGCCTTAGCCCTCTCCTCAGCTGCCCTCTTCTCTTCTTCTGCCTTAGCCCTCTCCTCAGCTGCCCTCTTCTCTTCATCTGCTTTCTGTTTTTCCTCAGCTGCCCTTTTTTCTTCCTCTGCTTTTAACCTCTCCCTTTCTTCTGCTTCCTTCCTTTCTTCCTCAACCTTGTCCTCATCCCTAAGCTTCTCTTTATCTAGTGTGTCAGTTAGACTTGGTGTCTCTTCTGGCACAACATTTGTATCATTCTCTGCTTTGTGTTCCTCTGCATTTGTAGCTAGACTTTTTGTTTCTACTTCTTCTTTATCTGCGGATTTTTCTGCTGTCATGTCTATCTGATTTTCCTCTATGGGGACCTCCATTTTTTTCTCCTCCTGTACCTCCTCCTTGTCTTTTTCTTCTTTCTTTTGCTCTTCCCCATCTTGCCTCCAGTTGTTCCTTTGATATGATTTGGTAACTATTTCTGTTTCCTCAATCTCATAGTGTCCTCGGTGTGTTTCAGCCTTTTCCTCTTTCCCCGGGGTCTCATTTTCTTCCACATTGTTTACTTCTCTCCTGCTGGGCAGTGACAAGCTCCCATCTGTGATTGTGGGGTCAAGTTCCTTTTGACGTTCCAAGGCTTCCTGTAGACGTTTTTGACGTCTCTCCTCCCGTCTTGCCAGTCTCTCCAACAACGCAGCTTCATCATCTGTAGAACGCTTGGTTTCCTCTCCTGCCACACTACATAAAAGTGACAGTTTTGCATTAAAAGAAAAAAAAATCTTTCTAACAACATATACACTTCACTGTTTCCAGAAAAAAAAGGTTAATGTAACATCATTCCATGGTTTGAAGATACAACTTCAAATAGGCTACATACTTCAAAATTTTGCAAAATGGTTCCACGATTAATTTTGGCATTTCTACAGCCATAGGAATGCGGTGTTTCACAATATTAGAGCCAGGAATGGTTCCCTTTCAAGACAGTTCCAAGAGCCACTGAAGTTCCAAGGAGCCTTACTGACTTTGGTAGGCACTGGAATGGTCCCTGACACTTGTAGAACTGCACTATGAACTGCCCTGAAAAATTCACGCTTCCTCTCTGCATCCTGCAGCAGAATACTTGGAAGACCTTAGCTTAATTTAGGTGCTTCCTTCAGCTTGACCTGAGTTATATGTGTCTTATGCATAGCCTTCACCCTAGGCAACATTTTTGAAGATCCTACACAAGCAAGATACTTCCTGAGTTCAGTGAGTTTCTCTAGCAAAAAGAAGTTATTCCTGTTCCACAACAGCATTCACAGACATAGTCCATAAAGGGATAGTCCAGCAATTAATGTGCAGGGAGGTTGTGATTGTCTATAGAGGGACAATAAACTATTAGAAATCAGAGCACAGCACCTAATTTAAGATATGCTCTTCAACAGCTGTAGATATCAGGAATGCACTTCATTCTCAGTCCCTAGAGGTTTTCTTGACTCCTTTAAAATTCAGCTGTTTAATACTCATGTGTGCAGGTTTCTCTCCTCTTTCTAGTTTTTTTTATTCTTTCCTGTAGTCTGTTGTGGGAAAAGACTATAATCTATAATCAGAAATGTTGCTGTTTTCCTATCTATATCCATTCTCTTTGTCTTTGATAGAATGCTACTTGTGCTCAGTATCTATTAGCTTGATATCCCAATGTCTATTTCTGGTTTCTTCTGTCAGTTGTTATGGCCACTTGAGATCTAGGTATAGTATTTGAGACTATGTGAAACTAAACAAGTGATGGACAGACAGGAAGGCCAGATTTGGCCACTCAGCTTGTGACAAGTAGGTGGTGATATGAGTGATACAGTTTAGTGGTTTAGGAGTTACAGTGGTAGTGCTGAGCTGACAGTTGGACTTGATGATCTTAAAGATCTCTTCCAACCTTGATGATTCTGATTCTAAATGTAACCTCATTCCATAAACTTTTCTGCTGTTTATAGCTGTATGACGCTGACAGTGCCAGATGAGTACTGTGGTCTACAGCTCACATCTACCACCTTGCAGGCATGTTTCAGCTGCAGCTTGAGGCCTGGTTGCCCACCTATCCCTTGCGCCTTGGTCTCACAATGTCATGATCTCTATTAGCAGGACAAAAGATGTAGTGGTTTGTGAGGCCAGATGCAGTCATGTCTGAGAGAATCTGACAGCCTCCATGAGCCCCAGCTGAATCACTCCATAGACAGCCTTGAGGACACACTGGATATGGGTTATGAGCATAGCCTGAAGCCCAGAGTCAGTAATGCTCCCACTTTACTGTATAGACACAACCAGGGGCAATCTTCACAATGTTAGGTTCTTCTTCAGAATAAGGATGGACAAACCGGGTACTTAAATTTTAAGTACCAAAGCAGACCTTTTCAAAATACTTCTCTACTCTGAATAAAAATTACCACTGACTTGTCAGTAAACAACACTAAATGCCATTTACCTGTTTTGGGCATTAACTTCTGATTTCTCTGTTACTTCTCCTGATAGATCTCCTTCTTCCTTTTGCCGCAGCCTCTCCTGTCGAGCCCGTCGGCGACGTTCTCTGGCGGCTTCTTCGTCATCATCATCATTTCTCTGGTAGGACAGCCTGCAGTAGAGCATTAGGGATAGGGAAATGAAGTTGCTATAGCATATAGGACACAGAAAAATTACAAAAAAAGTTTTCCAGAGCACAGTAAGCATGGCTGCAGTGGCTGCTCCATACGCTGCTTAGAAAATATGTAGTGAAGTTTGAGATGCACAATTTCAAAAGTTGGTTTTCTTTTGTTTTTCAAAAGTGAACTTGACAAAATAATCATAGTGAAGGTGGCAGCCATACCACACTGTCAGTTTGCTCCTACAAAACACCAAGACCATAAAACCCCAGCTCTGTAGCTGAGCAAGCATCCTGCTAGCTTACACCATGATCCTGCTGGAATGCTCACAGCAGCATTTGAGCAGACTATCATTCAGACCCACATAACTGAAACTGGACTTAGCCAAGCAGCTTTTCATTAGTCTCCCCCAAATGTCACATGCTGAAAATGGTGACAGTGTTCTAAATTTTAAAGACTAGAAATCAGGGAGACACAAGCATGACAACAGCTCTCAGTGGTTGGTTCTAAATGCCATACATCTGATACCCATAAAATTTTTGTGAGCCCAGAGCCCTGTCAGACTAAATCATATAAGATTGGTGCAGTGATGAAAGCCTACAGCTGAGAATTCATTGTATTCATCTAACCCATCATATTTAGTTTAGTTTCATTCTACTTGAAAAGGAGAGCAAGACCTTGCAATCCTAATAATCCTGTAGCCCATTCAAATCTTTGCTGAAGTGCATTATTACGGTGTGAGATAAAAGGAGACGCCTGCATTCCTCTTATCTTTTTGTGCAGGGAAAGTGAAATAGGAAGTTAACACGTGCCAGACCCAGTCAGAACACTAATTTACTTTGCTTCTAGTAGTGGTCTGATATGTCATGGTAAAAATGTCAGCTTCCTCACATAGCCACACATTCAAGTTAGCTGTACAGCCATGCACACAGAGAAAAAATAGACTTCTGCATCAAGTAAAACCAAGCGTTGCAAGGAATATTTTAACATTAAAAGCAACTAAAACATTTTGATTTAGCTATCAGTGAGATGCTTTGGGCCCAATCCTGTCCTTTAACCTTATTCTGATACTACTTTTCTCCTTTGCCGAAGATAAGATGGAAGTATAGGTTCAGCAGGGATTCAATTACCCAAATTTTACGTTAAGATTTGAAAATGTAAAACATGGCTGAGGCACTTGCCAGACCTAGAAAAGCATTTTCATCCTAATTGCACCAAAGAATTTGATTTGCTACATTCATGGTCTGTCTCAACAGCTTGCAGTCTTTTCTTTACAGAAACAACTCCTCTCAAGAAGAGTGAAAACCACGAGCAGCATGGTCATGAAGGATCACAGTGTGGAGACAAGAAAGGAAGCAGACAAAATAAAACACTAGAGGTGAAGCAGGGAAGGTAAGGAAAAACACTTCTTCCATTTGTAAACAATTTAAAGGAGGATCAACATTTCATTTAAGTTTAGAACAGAAATCATGTGAATACAATCAAAAATCAGTGGGGTCTTTAATTTGCAGAAGAGAGAGACTCTCTGGAATAAAACTGCATTAGCAAACTGATGACAGACAGACCATTCATTTACAAGATATTCTTGCTGCAGGAAGGCTATGATCTTTTTAGCTCTGAAGTCCAAATGTAAGGGCACAGGAGAGGGCATACTGCCCTGAGCCTGTGGCAGCTGGATAATGGCCATGACTGAGTCAGTTCCCAGTGCCTATGGCTCAGCATTTGTCTTTGCAGTGAGATCACATGAGGATGAAGTAGTTTATCCCACTCTGTACACATACGAACACTCCTACACAGCAAGGAGAACAACTGCTATCAAAAGTCTCTTTAAAATGCCTTTTTAAAATCACCAGTTGCTCATCAAACCAAAAAAAAAAAAAACCAACAAAACAAACAAACAAACTCTAGGCAAAAAATTCTCACAAAATGGTACCCGTTAAACAGATATGCATTTCCTGTCCTTGGACACTTACCACATAGATCATCTGTCAAGAAAACTGACAATCTTTCTCAATATGCTTTTAAGTATATCCACGGCCTTACTACCGCAAGTAGTGGTTTCCTACAGCGAGCAAGTACACTAGGTATGGACTCCATCCATTAGAATCACCTTAAATACTCATTTCTGTTCACCAGCATGGATGCATGCAACATGCACGCTAATGTGGAAACAGTCATATGAAAAAATAATTGCAATATTTTTAGAGATCTGTTTCATGTTTTATTCAGAATTATGTTAAAACTACTTCCCAGATTGTACTTTTACAGGCTGTTTTACTTGCCTCTGAAATAAAGGTTTTTCTGGAGTGGATGTGACTAGCCACAACTGACTAACAACAGTAGAGTAGACTGAAAATACAAGTTCAGGTTGGCTATGTTAATTAATGGGTTAATGACCACACCATGGGTAAACTGACAGCAGGATCATTTATGAAATGATTCAGCATAGTTACCCCAACTGCCATTGACTTTCCATGAGAAATTCAGTCATAGGAAAGAGGGTGCAAGTTAGGTAAATGCCATTTCTGCTCATGAAAAATACACTCTTCCGACTAGACTTCATCTCATCATCTACTCAATCCTCATGCACTGAGTTTGTTCATCCTAACTTGACTGGTTCTCTTTTCCTTAGCTATCAACATAACCAACTGGTTCTCTGCTGCCTGGTGTCAAAGTAATTTCACATAGAAAGTAAACTATGGGCTGACACATGAATTCATGCATCCTCCACTGGGAGTAGAAAGACTGATCCTCGCTCTCCCACTGTTACCGCTCTCCCTAGCTACCCTTCACAACTAAAATCAATCTGGGAGTTCTTTGAAGCTTATCTTTCACTTGCCTACATCTTTTGACATTCTTTAGAGTAAGAGTAAACAAATAATAAAAAATATGACCAAGATTTTAACTCTACATATCAGACAGATGGAAATCTGATAATCTATGTTGGCCTGTGCGGTTTCTCCACTCTTGGAGAGCAGCCTTGCTGCCCAGCATACACGTACTACAGGGCAACTAAATTAAACTAAACTTATATCCATTTGTCACTTCCATAGAACTGTTCAAATCTTTGCAGGCAAGTATCTCTCTACAGTTACTTGTTCCAGCTATCTCAGGCAATGAGACCACAACACAGCATGACCTCAAAGAGGTATGCCAAGCCTTCTGATGCACGAAAGCTCTTATTAAATATTCAGATGAAAAGATGACCTCTTGGAAACCATCCTATACCTCTTTATCAAAGATAACATGATCTCAGTCTCAACTTCAAGTAATAGAAAAAAAATCGGCTGCTTCTCCTGTTATTTTTCTCTGTGTTTCTGACGTGAGAAAAAGCTGTGTAACCTCTCTGCATTATTGGTAAGCTGTTCTAGTAAAGCTATAGTGCTAAGTCTGTCATCCTTCCCATATAGCACAACTCCTGTATGGGAGACTAAGTACCTCATCCATGTGAGAGAATAGTTCCCACCACATTAGGTAGTGATAACAAGTAACAATGGATGTTCTGTCCTACTAAGTAGCTAGGACAAATTTATACCTCCAGGGCTGAAATCCCAAACCTGCTGAAGTCAACAATGAATCTCCCAATTGAGTGAGTCTAAAAATATTGACCTCAGACTGAATGGGGGAACTCTACAGCCTTGAGGGGAAAATAACTCTGCTGGCTTGGGAATACAGGTGATGTGGCCATCTGCCTCAGACCTTCTTCAGAGAGATTCATCACTCTGTATTTTACACTGAACAGTGAATTTACATTAAGTTGTAGCCCATCAAGAAACTTGGTAATAGCTAGGATGATTATGGGGCTGAAACCATTTCAAACAAGCCAGCTTCAGCTGGTTTTGAAACCACAAATCAGTTCAAATATTATCTAAGGCACTTTGGTTTTTGAGTTCCTTGCCCAGTACTACTACATTATTATTATTGCCTGAATTATGACAGCACTGAAATTTCTCAGTCAAGATCAGAGGCTTGCTACAGTAGGCAATTTATAAAGATAGAGCAAGACCTGGTCCCTCTTCTAAACAGTTTGTAGTCTGATTAAAGACAACCTTTATAATTTGTAGCACTATCTGCCCTCAGTTAATCATAAGCTAAACCTTATGAATATAAATTATTTTTCATTTTTTGCAGGAGTAGGAAAAATCTGTCTAATTTGAGCTGAATCACACAATTCCAGGAGGCAGGGAGAAAGAATTGCTGTGACTCTGGACTCCAGTGTCAAAAATATGTGAAAAAATTCCAAACAGAACAAAAGCCTTTAAGATTTTTAACTTAAACAGGCAGCTCATATCTACCTCTTATTTTCTCTATGGTTCACTCATATCTGTCAGTTTTCCCTTTCTCCCACCCACAAAACCACCTTGCATTCTTAGCAGTATCCTCACAACAGGTACCTCAATTAGATGCAACCGTACCTCTTCAGCAAGCTCTTTTCCACACAACTTTGTTATCTGGAAGCCCTTACATGTATTACGCATTAGTTTTCTCTGTGGACCTCCCCAAGAAATGAGATCACTCCTCCTGTACCAGACTGCTTGGCCTCTACTTGCAACCTAACCTACTTCTAAGACCTTCACCCTTCCTCACCTAAGACCACAGCAGTTGAAGTGATATTTGTTGACTCGTGTATTTCTAAATTTATGTCAGATGGAGGATGCCGGTAAAATGTCCTCAATGACAAATTTAATTACCAGACTCAATCTATAAATGTGCATTTGTTTGCCTTTTGTGCTCTTAGAAAGTCTTCCTATTTACCCAGCTTCTTCCTGAAAGGATGGGTGGGGTGAGGATGGACTTTGTTATAATACCCACTGGGGAGTGCTCTTTGTGTCACTGTTGATATTCAGTCTCATTTTATTTATTAGTACATATGTTTTTAATCTTTTGATTGTTCATTTAATTTGTGTTATGATAGGCACACTTCAAAATGTGTATATAAACAACTGATCAATCTTCGCCTAAAACAACCCATAACAAATGCATACGCTTCCAG